AAATATTTTAAAATTAAAATTTTGCATCTTTAAAAGAAAATTTAATATTTTGTTGTGAATCCTTTATTCTTTAGAACAGCCTCACATCTCCGTTTCATCGAGTTCACAAGGCTCATGCACCTTTCCGGTGTAATTTCACTCCATCTTTGATGGACAACGTTCCAAAGTTCTTTATTATTAGTTGGTTTTGCTTTAGAGACGGCTTTTTTAATATCTGTCCACAAATTTTCTATGGGATTAAGATCCGGTGATTGTGGGGGCCATATCATGACATCAATGTTCTTGCTACGAAGCCATTGCTTCGCTTTCCTACTGGTGTGCTTTGGGTCATTGTCCTGTTGTAGTACCCATTTTAAAGGCATTTCATCTTCTGCATATGGAAGCATAATATTTTGCAATATGTTGACATATTCGTCTGCATTCATGATCGTTTTGATCCAGTATATTGGTCCGACACCATAATACGAAAAGCAGCCCCAGATCATAATTGAGGAACCACCATGTTTTAAGGTTTTTACTGTATACTGTGGCTGGTATAAAGTATTTTTTGGACGTCTTACATAAGAACGAGAACCTATACCACCATATAAGACCACTTTATTCTCATCTGTCCACAAAATATTTCTCCATTTTTCAATAGGTCACGATATGTGTTCGTTTGCAGATGAAAGTCTCTTTCGTAGGTGTATGCCTTTTAAAAGTGGGACCTTTCTTGGACTTCGTGCAAATAAGGAAGCTTCCCTTAGTCGACGTCGAACTGTTTCCACACTTGCAGGTAACTGCAACACATCCTTTAGCTCCGTAGCCGGCATGCTTGGATTTTGCTTGGACAGCCTAACTAATTTTCTAACATTTTTTGGGGTCAAACAAGGTTTTTTTCCTCTATTTTCTGCACTTTTTTTTATATATTTTGGCGTTTGCAATCATTTTTGCTGAACAATTTTCTATTTCTTGAATTTCTTTGTAGGTTTTATTTGTTTCCAACAACTTTAGTATTGGGTTCCGCTTCTTTTCTGTACAATGTACACCACGTCCCATTTTTCCAAAGTAATAGCTAAGAAACTCAAATTATTATTTTTTTTTTTTTAATTTTCTGATATAAATTCTTACTTTTGTTCGAAACTTTAAACTGATACGAGTACTATTATTTTTTTTTAAGAATTTCACAAGTATTTTTTTACGGTAAAAAAAAATCAAAAAATATAATGACTCACTTATTATTTTGTTTCGATTGTTTTTGTGCATAAGCAAGCTTAAAAATTTATGCATGTTCATTCTTGTTTAGTGAATTAATTAGAATTTCTAATTGAAAGAAATTAATCTTGGTTCACACTGCTATTTTATTGACCGCATTTGTAAGTCGCCATTTCATGGCCAAAAAATTCTCCGTACAGGTAACAATATTTGAATGTGAATAAGAAATTGAAGTTTATTTAATATTTTGTACGGCCTCCTTCTGCGGTGATTACTGCCCGTAAGCGGTTTTTCATCGATAAGACAAGTTTCAGTACCAATTTTGGACCATTACTCTTCAATGACTTGCTTTAGCTGGTGCTTGTTAGAAATGCCATGTTTTCTAACTTGTCGTTCCAAAACATCCCACAAATGTTCTATAGGATTAAGGTCCGGGGATTGTGGAGGATGGAGAAGCACTATTTTAACATTATATAATAACCATTCTTCAATTAATTTGTAATCTATAATTTTTGGACGACCTCTCCCAGACGCTACTTCTAAACTTTTAGTTCTTTTAAAATTTTTATTACAATTGAATTGAAGAACGTGGCCATCGTTATATCAACGATTTTCGGCATATCTCTAGTAAACAGCAGATACAAAACTGGTCCTAACATAGTGCCTTGAGGCACAGCTGGTTGTATGTTTTTCAACTCAGATCTATCTTTGCTTGATGAAAACATTTTTTCTGCCAAGTAGGATTCTATTATTTCAAACGAAGTTTTTTGGTAAAATCCTATGCAATTTATAAACAAGACCTTCATGCCATACTTTATCGAATGCTTGCGCCACATCAAGAAACACTGAGGAACAAATACATTTTTCTTCTAGAGCTTTTTCATTAATATCCGTTATTCGATGAACTTGTTCTATCGTTGAGTGTTGCTTTTTGAACCCGAATTGATGCGCTGGAATTATACTGCCATTTTTAACCACAGGTTACAATCGTCTCATGAATAGTTTTTCAAACAACTTCGAAATAACTGGAAGTAACGAAATTGATCTATATGATGTCGTTTCGGTAAGCTGCTTTTCCAACTTTGGTATCATAATTATCGCAGCTTTTAAATGATGAGCAGAATTAAGATTGAAAATTATATTTGGTGAATAATGTGCAGCGTGGTTGAATAGTATGTTGAAATTTAAGTGATGTATTGTGTGGTTGAAAAAGAAATAATTGAATGTTTATAGATAAAATACTGGTATTTGGTGATAGTTTTGATAAGCTTGTGATGGAAAATTCGAATACTATATCCAAATATGAATCTAAATATCCAAATCTAGTTCTCCAAATATAAATGTTGTATGAATTTAGTATGATGATCTAGTGCGAATGTTGTTGGATAATCAAGTGTGAATATTGTATGTATGACGAAGAGTGAATGTTTTGTTGATTCAGTGTGGATGATCCAAGTACAGGAATCCTTCGTTATAAACAATTTTTGGGACCAAAAATTTTCGGGTTTATTACATTTTACATGTATATATTATTTTTTTCTGATTCAAAACACTCAGTGATATTTTTTTGTATGAATCTTCTACTTTCGTTATTCAGAATTGTCTTTTATTCTGATACAGTTTTCCACATTTTATTTGTTATTTTTTGAGATCTGTTTTCATCAGTGCCGTATTTTTAAAAAATTTCCACACAATTGTCATTTATATTATTTTTTTCGTTGTAAAAAAGTTCAAGTAAATCTGAATAGCTTAATTCTTCTTAAATCCGCAGATGATAATAAATGTTGCACATCTGTCATATCTGCTTCTGTAAATCCTATATTTCTAGCTAATTCTAAAATTTCTACAGAAATATTTTCAGTGCTTTCACTATTCGAAAAATTTTGGAAGCAGCTTTTTCCATATCTAAAAATATATAATAGGTACGTAAAATGTACATATGTATATACATTTTTATTGCAATTAAAGTTTATGTTTTTTTTACTTGATTATTAGTTTATTATTTTTTTTTACCTTGAGCATGCTAGATTGTGTAACTTCCTGTCAAGATTTTAAAATATTGTTGACAACTGATAAAATGTATTGATCCCAAAAGTTTTTTAAACAAGCATATTTATCTTCACTCTATCGTTTTCGATAGTTTTAATCAAATTTTGAAATGTTCTTCTTAAGTAATAAGCCTTTAAGTTGGATATGACTCGCTGGTCCATTGGTTGAATAAGCGAAATGGAGTTTTGTTGGAAGAAATAGCGCTTTGACATTTTCATTATAATCATCTAAAATTGGTAGGTGACCAGTCAAAATGTTTCTTTTTTTGGTATTCGTAATTCCAACGACCGTACTTTATTTCTTCTCCATTTCGTAAAACTGTATGAACTGTATCTTGCTTTAAACACATTAAGAAAGCTATATTAGACATTTTTTCTTTTTGCTCCCATTTTCTCATAATTTTTAATTTTTTTTTCAATTGATAAAGTATTTCTTTTTTTTTAATTTTCCTTTCGCACTTATATTTAAATTTAATCAAAAACGTTGCTTCGAAAAAAATTTTAACGCGTATAACTGTATATGAAAAACCCTAAAAAAAATTTGTCTATATAGGAATGAACTATTATTTTAAACGGGGTAGGACATAGAAAATGTTATTGGTTAAATCGAAGTTTGTTATATAGGGGTCGTTTAAAACAGGGTATTCCTATATGTGAAAGCGCTGATGTATGACTAAGTGCTGATGAATAATGTGTAAAAAGCATGGGTTTTTATGTATAACTGTGCGTACTTATACCTATTTCGTATCGCTTGATACTGGTATAATACGGTGATTTACGATTAAACTGCTTTTTGCTGTATTATAAAAAGGGCTTTGGATCATTGTGTTATTGAAGGATCCATTTTAAAGGCATTTCATCCTCTGCATTTGGAAGCATAGTATTTTGCGATATGTTGGCGTATTCATCAGAAGTCATTATTGGTTTGATCCAGTATATTGGTCCGACACCATTATAAAAAAAACGACCCAAACCATAATTGCAGAACCCCCACGTTTTAAGGTTTTTACTGTATATCCTTGATTATATTTAGTGTTATATTTTTCACAAAGAAGAAGTCAATATGACTGGGGACATAGTTTGGATAGATCTGCCTATTCCTTTAGCGTCAAAATTTTTTTTTCAGTCTGCAAACTATCTGAAACTTTTACGAATAGAAATGTGGTAAATTTTTTTACCGTAGTTGACTTTTAATAGACCGTAAACGTCAAAACAAAAAAAAATAGAAAAAAAAGGAAAGCGCAAAGTTTTTTATAATAAAGTTAAAATTGAAATTTTATTTAACAAAAATAATAGGTATTAACGTAATCTTTCAATTTTATGGTATTATAACGTACATATTAACCAGAAATTATTCACAACCTTGCTGTTTAATGATAGGTATTATAATACTCATCAAAATAGATAGATTTAAAATTATTTTTTATATTATTTTTAATAATATATTTACTTAGCTATTTATAGGAAATTTATTCATATAATTACTTTGTCAGACTGTCTGAATGTACAAAAATCTGCAACTTTGACTCTTGTTTTACTTTTTCTAAACGTTTGAATTTACACTTTGACTGACAGTAGTAGTAGAATATGAGAAAGTCAGACTTTGCAAAATTTGACGTTTAAGAATTTACCTATTGTATTGGTATCTGGGCCACCGTGATAACTTAGTTAATTGATTATTTTATAGCTCTTCTTCTTTCAGGTTATAAGGTTTAAGTTTTTATTACAATCAAGATTATTTGCTTTTATATTCTAAAGGATTAAGGTCTGGGAATTGTGGAGGATGGGGAAGCACTTTTTTAACATTATATAATAACCATTCTTCAATTAATTTGTAATCTATAATTTTTGGACGACCTCTCTCAGACGCTACTTCTAAACTTTAAGTTCTTTTAAAATTTTTGTGTGGTTGAAAATCAGCCTTTGTGTTGTGTGGAATATTTCTTAATCACATCGGGGTCACCAATTGTAGAGGTAGATTATACAAGCATGTAATTATTTATTAAGAACACTTAATAATTTTAAATTATTTTATTAAAATTCAATTATTAATTTGATTACAAATTTTTGTATAATAAATTTATGTTAAATTCTAAAATTAATCATTATATTATGTAATATAATATATAATATACAAAATTAATTATTACATTATACAGTATGTTATGCCTAGTAGCACTTCACTACTTACCTATTACAGTAAAAAAGAGAATAACGACTGAAGAGAGTGAATTACAGGTAGCGGTATTCGTAGGGATGCTATGAGAGCAAGATTTTACGATGTTATTTTATACCGCTACTTACTATAATTTACACCATTATACGTAGCAAGAGCATGAATCTAATCAATTAGTTAAAATACGAAATTTTTTAGAACAGCGCCACTCATTATTCAGTTATTTGTCGATACCCACAAAACCCTAGTATATCGACGACGGTACGTCATCGGCAAAATAATTTTTTAAAAAAGAAAACAAAAACGAATTAAGTAAAATCGGAATGAATTTGCTTGAACGCAAATCTGAACCAAGTATGCCTTGTTCAGTACGCGTTTTGACCGCAACGGCTATTGAAGAAAATCGAGATGAAATTTTTTCTCTATTTAGGATAAATTTAAATGGAAGTTTATGATAGACAAAATGGAAGTGAAATAGTGATGTGTTTATGGAGGAAGACCGGTAAATATTGCTGTATGGACACTTGGTGTGACACTGGAGTGGGTGATGATTAGGGATCTTGAAATGGAGGCCTGTTGTTTTGAGGAAGGTGGAACTGATTTAGCAGGAATAATCTAAACACGTTCTTTTTGTGCAAGGATGAATATGTATGTTGCGTTGATAACGCATTCGTCTTTTAGCATAGTTTAGAAATTTTGGACTACTTGGTTATTTGGGCTGGGTGACTATCTTGTGGTGCCTTTTGAAGTTGCAATGGAGTCAGATTTGGAGTTTATTGAAGTTGCAGTCAATAAACTTTTTCTAAATGCGAAAATTGGATTAAATACGAGATAAATTTAAATTAAACAAAAAGTTAAATGAAAGTTCGAAGAATCGTAACCCTATCTTTGATTATGAAAAAAGATCCATATTTTATGTGGCTATAATTGCTTTAGTTATACATATATGTATACGTTTATATTACCTTTACGTTTAACAGCTTGCTTTCATTTTTATCTTCTAAAATTTTTAATAAGTTACGCTTCGTACATATTTCGTAATTTGATTCGTCTTATACTATGAAACATCCATTATCATGATATTCTAATGTGAAAAAATTATTTTTTTAGGGTTAGTAAAGTTTCGTGTATACTGTAAATACCGATTTTTCTGCTCCTAAGATAAAATAATAAATTACCCATTTAATGTATCGAATTATAAATAATTGTTTTAAATTTTTTATAGCCTTGTTCATGCTTCGATTTTAAACTATTCGGCGAATATTGAAAAATTAATAATTTAGATAAAAAAAAATTGAAAATTGAAAGTCTGAAATCTTGAAGATGTATTTAAAGCTAAATCTGGTTCCGGCTTATAAATTTTTTTAAAAACAATTTCTTTAAACTAAAAAAAAAAAATTAGTTTTCCTTTTGGTTTTCAGCAAGATTTGATATGTTATTTCCTAGATAATTGCATAGATTTTTGAATTTGCCGGATATTGGATTCTAAATTTAATATTTGGTTCGTCTTTTAACGAAGTATTTATGATAAGTACCATCATTTGCTATTCCTAAACTAAAAAACTTTTTCAAATAAAGCGTATTCATAGTTAAATAAATAAAATTAACATTCATTTTGCCGATATTCTGAATTACTGTATGTATAGGGAAAGTTCTGAAATACTGTATGTATATGCAAAGTTTTTATTTTGTAGATTTTTAAGAATTTTTATTTTTTTCTTTAGAAATTTTTGTACTTATATACTATTAAAAAAATAAAAGAAAAGAAAATATTTGGATCTTTAAAAGAATATTCAAAATTGATGCCTAATGACCGACTCTCACACATTTTTTTATTTATTACTCTGGTTATTTAGAATTTACGATTAACTTTCATAAATTCAAGATTGAAATATAACAATAATTACTCAGGTACAAAAAGAAAAATAACGTACTCATTAAATTATCTTTTCTACAAAGAAAAATGTAGCTATAATATAAATAAATGCATAAATATAATCCACATATACATATATGTATGTATTATCTTTCTCGTAATAAAAAAAGAATAGTTTTCCTTTGAATAAAAAAGTTTAGAACATGTTTTCAGTTTTTATTATATAAGTATTAAGTACGTATATTAATTTAATTAAAGAATTCAAATTTTTTTAATTGATAACTAAGCTGCTATCTTTACAATTGCGTTATATGATTATACTTATATATACATACATACAATGAGTTAAATTATTGAGTTAAAATATTTTGTAGTGCCTAAATTAGGTAAAATCTAGTAATAACCATATATATGTATTTATGTGTATATATTTAAAATTCAAATATAATTATAAGTTTGAGATTCTAGTTACAATATTTCAAGGAAATAAATCAAAAAAAAAAATTAATAATATTTTATCATTCACTTGGAATCATAAATTGGTATGAAAAATAATTAATATCTATGTTAATTCAAAAAGATTATACATTTTAATTTCAATGATAATTTTTTATAATAAATATTGAAAAATTTATAATTTATTGATAACTGCAAAAGCTACCAAAATTTCAAAGCAAAAATGTTCCATTTTTATAAGATTATTATACCTATAATTTCTGTCTGAATATAATGGAATGCATACATTGAAAATAAATACACTCAAAATTATTATTAAGTTTCATATTTTTTAACAATACACTTGTCACTCATAAATTTTGTCAAAGAACTTATTCCTTACTTTTTTCAACAGTACGTTATTGCATTGCGGAATGTAGGATATATATATACACATATATATATATATATTCGTATGTATGTACTTTAAATTGAAGTAGACTTTTAATATTTAAATTATAACACCTTAATACACAAAGAAAGAGTGCAAATTAAAGCAGTTAAATATTAAAAAAAAAGCAAAGCGTAAGCGTGAAAGTACAGCAGTTAACATTGAACAATACAAAAAAAAAAAACTAATTCTTTAAATTATTAAAAATAATTTTACATCACATCATATAAATGTTTAAATTAATTAATATTTAATTATATTTTATTTATACCCATTATAATATTTTAATTTTTTATATATGAATAATATATGTATGTAATTATTGAACTAAATATTAAATATAATATAAAAATATTATATTTTATTAATTATATTTTAAATTTTGTAATAATAAACATCTTCAGAAAATTTTAATTTCATACAAACAAAAAACTCAAAAAGAAATTAAAAATTGTAATCAGAATATTTTATGAAAATTTTAAACATTTGAATATTAATGAATTAAATGTACATTGAAATTATAATTTAAATAAAAAATTCAAATTAATTATAATAACATATATACATAGTTACTTTGAAAATAATTTAGTTTTGGTTTTTAATTTATTTAATTATTAAAAATTTTTATTAGAATTATATTATTAACTACTTACTTAAATAATAATAAAATGTCTGTACATAGTAATGGTAAAAAAAATTATTTTGTAAAATATATTAAGAAAATATTATACATAAATTACAATATTATAAATAAAACGTAAATATTAAAGAATAATAAAAATAAAAAGTTGAATTAAAAGAGCTTTTTCTTTATTTGACTAACTATTTTGTATATATGTATGTATATTTTTAACTTTCAAAGTAAATAAAATACAATCGCTAAAAAGAAATTGTACAATTTTAGTTGGTATTCTTTTGAATAGAGGTGGTTTTTAGCATTTGTTTCATAAAAATTTTGAAAAAAAATTAATTTAAATTTTAAGAACGAAATGGCCGTTAAAATTTTCCGTTTTCTAAAATCCGTTTTTAATAAATTCTGAAATTTTAGCAGCTTTTAGACACTAATAAATATTTAATTTGTTTAGAAGAAAATTTTTCCACCTCTAACTCAAATTATCTTATCTTTCCGAAACTGCAAATAACGTTTTAATTCGAGCATTATGTTAAAGCACCTTAAATTTTTTTTTGTTTTATTTCAAAGTTGCAATTTTTTAACTATATTCGTGTATGAATGTAAGTAATTTAAATAATTTAGTATACAGCAATCCCTCCTATAACGTAATTTTTGGAACCGAAAAATTTTTACGTTAAGTGAAATTACATTATAGGAGGTCCAACTAAACTAATATGACTAATATGTATGTACATACATATGTATGTATGTACTTGATATTTGCCTAAACTAGTAAGTTGTCTGTTGGTAAAGAAAGAAATTTAAATGAAAAAAAAAATAGATTATTGCATATTAAATTATTTTAAAATTACGTAAAACGAGGTAAAAAGTACATTAACTGAAAATAGGTAGGAAAAATAAAATTTACATATATCGAAATTATATAGTAAGAGGTTACGTTATAGGAGGGATTGCTGTACACGCATTGCCTTTAAAAGCATTTTTATTTTCACTTATTGAGGGGAAAAGTGCTACAATACAAACCATTGGTTTGATCCAACTTTATTGTTTACTTGAAAGAGGTAAGTGAGGAAAAGGAAAGAATTCTACGCCCATATTCTTTTTGTTGGTTTTTTTTGTGCAGTAAAATTTAAACATAATTTTAGCTGTCATACAATTTATACTATATAAATTAAATCAAACTTATTTTCGTAAAAATTGTATTTTTTTGGATGGCAGTGCAAAAACCGTGTGTAAAGTTTTTAAACTTTTGTTCAAATTCAAACAATTTTATAAATAGGTTAGGTTAGGTTAGGTTATCGCGGCTCCCCGAAGGGTTCACATAGACCAACTAGGTCCTTAAGTATTTAACTTAAGGTCATTTAAAAGGTGTAAAATTATTAATGCAAAAAAAACTTAAAATATTCAAAATATTCAAAAATTGAAATTTATAATAAAATTCATAAATAATCGTATCTTGTAAGACTATCGTATTTTGCTTGATCGAATTTCGAAAAATTATTTAAATCCTGTTTATAGTTACTTTTTTTATGATTTTGCTTTGTTATAAAAAAAAATATGTATAATTAAATGGTATTTTCAGATAATTTTAAAAGAAATTGTTAATAATCAAAGTTTATTTGTTCATTTTAGGAACAAAATGAGTAAACAGGATATTGAAACTTCTTTGGATGAATCACCCAGTAAGCGAATCAAATTAGAAACTCCTCGAAATGATGAAAAAGAAAATATATGTTTAAGAAAATTTAAAAAAATTCCTATATTTATAGTTGAATACCATAATGATGTTCTCGAATTTATTTATCGTTGTTTTGGTTCTCGTCATTTGCCACTTTACAACAATACAATAATACACTTTGATTCACATCCAGATATGGTAATATCAAATGACATTGAGCCAGAATTGATTTATGACAAAAATAAACTTTTAGAAAACTTAAGCATTGAAAATTGGATAATGCCAACATGTTATGGTGAACATTTAAAAAAAATCGTTTGGATAAAAAATTCATGGTGTCAACAAATTCATTGTGGTGAATTTAAATTCAATATTGGTGATTATGATAATGAATTATATGTTGATTTAAAAATACCATATTTTATATCTGAGGGAAATTATTGCTCCAATGATAAATTAAATAATAAAAAAGAAATTCACTTAAAAGTAATTGAGATTGATAATGAAAGAAACAATAATAATAAAATAGAAGAAGATAAAATTTTGAAAGAAGAATCTGATAATAAAGGAGGAAATTTTTCAAATATAAATGAATTCATAACTGATAATAATTTAATTTTGGATATTGATTTAGATTATTTTTCAACAGCAAATCCATTTTTAAATATTTATGAAAAAATTGATTGCTATAAAAGGATAACAGAAATTTTTGATTATAAAATTAATGAAAATAATTTTGAAATTGATTATGAAAAAAGAAAATTTCAATTGAAAAATTTAAAGGAAATATTTCAATACTTGGATTATCATAGAGATATTAATGAAAATGTTGAAATATTAATTGAAAATGATATAATAATAATTGAAAAAATTTTAGAATTAATTAAATTAATAAAAGAAAATTATAATGATAATGAAATTGATTGGATATTAATTTATAATGCTGGTTGTACAAGTGACAATAACGGCTTACCACATTTCATTAGCCCAGATGAAACATTAAATATTTATTTTGATAGTTTTAAAAATTTTCTTAAAAATTTGAAATATGAACCAATCGCAATTACTATATCAAGATCAACTGAAGATGGTTATTGTCCATCTAATAAAGTTGATTTTATTCAACAAAATGTTATTAACATTTTGCAATCAATTTATCGTGATAAATTGAATTCAAATCCAATTTTATGGTATGAAGAAACTAATTGGGACATTACGAAATTATAAATTTATTTATGTTATTGAAATTTTGAAGGTATTTAATTGTTATTATAATACTGATTAATTTAAGCGATTTTGTGTTAGATTTAAGGAAACATTTTACTCAAATTCAGGATTGTTATTTTTTATAAAAATTGCTTGATTTTTAATACTAATATTGGAATATTTTTGTTAATATTAAGTTACAAAGTAAAAAAATTTATAATTCTTGATTAAAAAATTTATAGTTCAAGTTTTTGTAATTTTTTTTAATTTAAATAATACAAGCAATAAAAGGTCTTACTAGAAGAAAATATTTTATTAAATTGGAATTAATTTCATTTTAATTAAATCTTTAAAAATATCTTGCTATTATCTTGCTAAACGTGAAATATTGTGTATTTTAAATTTTTTTTTTTAATTAGTCTCAGAATAGTAAAATATATACATAAATATTTTTCATAGTGGATAATCCCCGATTCGGTTAGTTACGTAAGTGACGTTATATAAATATCTATTGCATTACGTCACGTATGCATTTTCCCTAGAACTACTTCCGAAGAAATAGTTTTTTCATTATGATTTGACAAATTTATAGTGTAAAAAAATACTCACAACGTACTAATCTTCCTATATTTTAGTATTGAAAATTATGGGCCATGAAAAGCAGACAGATAATTATACTACATATAGGTTTTAAATGGAGATAAACACTAAATTAAGGAAGTTAAGCGTTTAAAAAAGTAGTTTAAAAGTAAGTAATATAAATCAAACTAAATACCTTTTTGTTGGCCTGGTAAGAATTTTTTCCATATCGTGTCAGTGCATACATATGTTTCTTCTAAAAAATTATAATATTCGGGCACCATTTCTTCTATTTCGTCTATATTTTGAAGTTTTTTATGTATTGAAGGATATCACATACGAGTGCCAAAAACTTTGGAAATCCTATTGAAAATCAGTGTTTTTATTAGAAAAATTAGAAGCATTCACATATTTGAGTTATCCGAATTAAGAAAATAACAAATTGGATTTTAAAATGATTAAAAAAGTGGTTGAAAATTTGAGATGTACAAGGTGGTTTCTTGTTTTAAGCTAACTATAATTATATGCTTTTAATAATTTTAATTAAGAATTTGATATTCTTTTCCTATTAACACATTTTGAAAAAAAAAATATGGATGATTTATTGTTTTAATAATTATTTTTGTCATATCGAGGTTGGAGTTGTTGGCTGCAAAAACATTATTTTAGTTAAATAAGTATAACTTTGCAAGGCTTTACGGGACATTATTACATATTTAAGATAGTACATCTTCAAATAAATGAAATTCAAATGAACTCAGTTTTTTTAAGTTCTTAAAGTTTAAACTTGAACTCTTTAAGTACTTTTGATAAATTTAAATTGGTACAAGATACATGTACAATATTTTGAATGTAAATATTGGCATTTTCAAAACTTTTTATCTTATAATTTGACAAAAATTTAAATTATCCATTTCCCTTATTTTGAAATTGCAATAATTCAATTCAAAAGTGTTAAAACAATTCAAAAGTGTTCAAAAGTGTTAAACAAAATTTAGCTCCTGATAAGTTCTTTTTTTAATGGGTTCATCCACTATATAATAGTACACGCCCACAATATATATTTTTTTAAAATATTACTAATTTGTTATATTTTTAAAAACTTTTTTTGTTGTTTTATTTTGACAATCTAAGAATAATAATAATAATAATAATTAAAATTTAAATATACAAAAATGAAAACTTCTTTCGATTACTCTGATTTAATAACTAATTCAAAAATTACAAATTTATTTAAAATATTAAAATTAATAAAAATATTAAAGTCGCCACAGCACTACTATCATGCGAACTGCTACCGTTGTCACTGTACACATCATTTCTTGTGCACATCATCGTAATTAAAAACAATGTTATTATTATTATTGTTATCATTATTATCATAATCATTGTTGTTGCTACTATTATCATTATTATTGCTGTTAATATTACTTTCACTATCAACATCAATATTATCATCGTTATGACAACTATTATTCTCATTAATGCTGCCATTGCTGTTATCATTTCTGTTATTACTATTATTATCAATATTAATATTTATATTATAACTGTTTATATTATCAGTATTCGTATAGATGTTATTGTTTCTAAGAATAATATTACTATCATTACTAATATTATGACTGTCATTATTATCTTCATTGTTATTATTAACATTACTGTTATCAAATATATTATTATTTTCATTATTAACATAATTACTGTTATTAAGGTTAACGCTATCATAGTTACTATTATTATTAAAGTTGATATTTTCATAATTATTACTATCATCATTGTTATTCAAAATGTTTATATTAATATTGTTATGATCATTATTACTAATAGTAGCAGCTGCAGAAGTTGTAGTAGTTGCACTAGTAGAAATAGTTACTTCTTGCATTTCATCAATAGTAGGAGTAGAAAAATCTTTTATACATTGTATGGAATTTAACCTATTATCAACATTTAAATTACAAATTAAATTATAAGATTTTTGAAAACTTTCATTTTCGTTATTAGTTGAAGATATTGTTGTTTTGATTTCGGATGAATTCGAGTTATGATCTTGAACATTATTTTCATTTATGTCATTTGATTCATTATTTGACTTTAAAGTTATATTTTTAAAATCATTGTTTTTGGTACATATATTATCTTTTTTTTGTAAATTAAATTCAGATTTTAAATTATTTGCAGAATTAATATTACTAGAATCATCTTCATCGATATTATCAATACTAATATCCGTGTTTGAAATTTTACTTAAATTATTATTACTTAAATTGAAATTGATTTCTGCTCCATCATCATCTATAGATGTATTAGTTACAGTAGTTTTTAAAGTACTTAAATCACAGTGACTATATAATAGGTTTTCATTTGTATTATTACAAACAGATTTTGTTGTAGCTTTATTTTGCTCTAAATGAAGATTATCATTGATCTTATTCCCATTTGAATCATTATTATCATTTTCAATTAATGTGTGATTGTATTCATCTTCTTCATTACCAGAATTCATTTCTATATTGTTAATATTCAATTCTTCAGCAATTGTATTTTGTAACATTTTGTTCATATTTTCATTATTTTTTATTCCATTTTTTGTATACTGCTTACCACGTTGATAATTACCTAATAAACTAGATTTTCTTATATTACATCTTTTACATATTCCACCATTGGATTTAATTAGATTTTTACTTTTATCATTTAAAGATAATGTTTCATTATTTTGATTATTTGTTTCGTTTCTCAATTTAATTTTATTCTTTTTTTTAAATTTTCTTAAAATATTTTCATCATACATAATATTACATAAACTTTTTGGAATAATATCATGAACTAAATCACTATAAAGTGGAACAACATTTTCATAAATAAAATCTTCATCATTTGAAACTTTTTTCTCATTATTATAATTTTCAATGTCTACATAATCTGGAAATAATAATTTTACACTATCATACACAATTTCTGCAGGATTAAAAGATTGCAACTCTTCAATTTCCGAGATATCATCATCATCTGCATGATTGCAAACATCTTCGTTATCATCTTCTGTACTGCAATCACCATTTACATCAGATATGTAACAATTATGTAAGGCATTTATACGAAACTTTGTCATTTGTTGTGTTTGTATTTCATAATATTGTTTGGCTAAACAATTCGGATCTTCAATTATTTTAAATTGTGTAGTTGGAAAAAAAAATTCTGCTTGATCATGCTCCGCTTTCATTCCAAATAAGAAATCAGAATTATGAATTGTATCTTGTTGCATTGGTACTTGACTTAACTCATCAAAAATTTTCTTTTCTACTTGTAATTCACCTAATTTTTTTTTATTTGTTTGTGAATCTTTTGAATTCGAATCATTTGAGTCACTGCTCATCAGTTCTACCCTATTATCAGGCTCGTTATTTATTGGTACAGAATTGATTGCTGAAACATCAGCTGCTTGAAACATAATTGAATTTAATGGATCGTTATGTTCCTCGTAATCCAGGTCAAAAATTGATTTTTTGGGTTTGGGTTGATTTTCAATTTTTGTTACTGATTGGGTTTTGTTTTCTTTTTGCATTTTGCTAAACACGTTCTTATTGTGATGGACAGTATTTTTAGAGTGCGAATTAGAAGAATCATTTTCTCTTTCAGAATCCCTAACGGAAATTTCCAATACGCCAACAGTACTTAAGTTCTCTGCTGAGTCTGATTTTTCAATATTAGTTGGTTGCATGTCAACTTCGCGGAGAGTACAAGTGCATGGAATTTCTGTTTCAATTAGTTCCTGAAATCGTTTTTGAATGTCATCATATTGTAAAGGTTCCAATTGTGCCTTTAATGATCTTATTTCATCTTCTATAACTGTTTTATGACAGTCCGCAATATCACTATTTTGGTGTACATTCATCGACGTGTTTTCTGCATTGGTAGAACTTTGTTTCACTGATTGGCTCGTTAAATTCGAATTCCCAGGCAAAGTTAAATTGGAGTCCGATGAGTAATCTGCTAAAACAATAAATTTATTATATTAATTTCATATGTTCATTATTTGAAAATAATAAAAGCTATAAGCGATTAAAAAATGTTAAAGTAAAAAAAACATAAAACTAATGGAATGTAACTAAATCAAATGTATAATTTGAGTAATTAATGAATATAGTTAGAACTGAAAATTGGGTAATACATAACCCAAATTAGCAAAGAAAAATAATGACACTTCCAAGCTTTATAAATCAAGCGTTGCTCTTTATCATTGTTCTTAATAAAACTTGAAAAAATACGTACTAATCATTTTATGATCAAAAGTTTTATTATTTATTTTAAAATACTCACCGACTTGTAAAACATTTCCAAACTGATCTGGTGTAGAAGTTGCAGTAGTTATTAAAGTACATGCATCAGATGTACTTGGGGAATGAGAACGATCTAATGAAGAAATAGATATATTTAAATAAACCGGTTTATTTACTTTTTCACCACGAGAAACTACCTGAACACACAGATGGAGCTCTTGAAGTTGGTCTTGAAGCTGCTCTGGATAAAGGTCTAGAAGGAGGTCGGGATACTGGACGAGAAGGTGGTAAACTTCTATCCGCTGATTGTGATTGATTAAGGAGTGTTGGAGAAGAAGTCGCGGAAGAACCAATTTTGCGATTTTGTATATCTGCTAGTAATTCTTTTGTTGTTTTGACTTTTTTGTTCCCAGCAGTGAGAGAAACGACTGAAAGAAGTTTTGATGAACTCTCGAAAAGTTGCGAATTCATAAAGTTAGTGTTAGAAATTTGTGCTGCTAAGACAGCATCAACTCCCTTAGATCCCTTTTTGCGGCCTCTCTTTTTGGGTGTTTTAGTGTTTTCGCTTGACAGTGCTTTACCTATATGCGAAAAATAAATAAAAGTATGATTTTTTTAATTAGATTCCAAAATTTATTACCTTGACTATCTGGATTGTTTTCAACATCAACCAACATGTCATTTTGCATAGATGAAACTTGACTGTTAGACATGGAAGAATTGCAACTATCGTTAGAATTAGTACCAATTACATCACTTGAAGTAATTTTATTTGATAATATATTTGGTTCGAATGGCGAACAGCTGCGGCTTTCTACAATCATTATATTGGAGGATGAATTCATTGCCGCTGCTATTTTCGGTTCATTTGCTCCTGATCCGTCGACATACATATCATTGCTTGATATTTTACTTAATTTTTTATTTAACATTTGATTCTGTTTTTGTTGAAGTTGTTGCTGCTGATGTTGTTGCGGCGGTTTTGGTTGAGGTTGTTGCAATTGTTGAGCCTGATTATTTGTTGAAGGTAGCTCAGTATTTGCCTCGAAAATATTAGTTAAAGTTGAAGTAGTTGAACTCTTCTTAAATTTTCCAGCAAATGTTAAATCAGTCTTTTTAACAGTTAAATTGTTGCCGATTGTTGACTCTGAAGTTTGCCGTGTTGTATTAGCATTAGAGCTGGGAAATGTGCTCAAAGAACTGTTTGACAACGATAAACCTTCATTAGGTATTGGCAAACCTTAAATTAATTTTTATTACTAATTTAAAATACTTTCATTATATCCAAACATACTACCTAAAACATTATTGGCTACATTACATCGAGACTCTCCCTCTTCGACATCAAAAGCGTTGATTGTTTTTGAACTTATTTCACTGCAGCTAGGAGAAAGACCTGTGTTGTTAGGAAATATACAATCATCATTCATGTCATTTATTAAATTAATTGTTGGTTGGTTTATTTGTTGCTTGATTTCCCTGTGTTTTTCTTTGTAACGTTTTTTGTCTTTTTTGTGTTTTCGATTTTTTCTGTGTTGTATTATCTTTGTCATTGGATTGTTTGCATTTGACACGCCCCCCTCTGACCTAATAGTATTGTCAGAATCGAAAGTGTCCATTAGATTTGAATTTGAATCATCATTTGAATCATTCAAATCAATTGTAATAGGCTGTTGATTCATCTGCCCATTAAAAATTGGTAATGACTGTTTTTGATTTGACTCTAAATTCTGATTAGAGCTATGATCGGTAAAATTTACTGTTGATTTTGACTGCTGAGCTGGTAGAGCTGACATTTTGAGATTTAAGTTTTCAGATACAGTGTCCAACACATTAGCGAAACTAACTTGTTTATTATTAAATGTGTTAACTACTCCCATAGTTGAGCTATTTTCGTTTTGAACTATTTGTTTTTTATTACATATCACCTCACTTCTTTTCGCAGTTGATAACTTAGTCGAATTAGAGCCGTCTGATATGAAATTTGCTCTATTACGTATCCCACTGATATTGTTAATAATGGCATTTCCAAAACTTTCTCCTCCTGGTCTATGACCACCACTATTATTATCGCCATAATTTTCGTGCGGATCGGCCTTTCTTGCTAAGTTATTGCTATTGGCACTTAAGGCATTTTTGGTTGATAACTTAAAATCAATTGAATTACTACTATTTTCTGCAGGAATCGCTCCTCCAGTACTACCCACAACATCCATTCCACTAAACCCTCCACGACTACTATTATCCTCACTTTTTGTTTTTTTCGTAATAACATCTGGTTGCCTTCTTGATTCAATTTGTGGTAAAGGAACTATAACATCAGAATTCAATACAACATAATCGTTCGATTCAGCGCAATCGTCTAAAATAATTGTTGGTGGTGATCCGATATTTTGTTGGGAAGGTGGGGGCAAGTTATTAAGTTTTGATTTTAGCCTGTTTTGCGTTTGTAACTTTGTTGGCTGCGGTAAATGCTGTTGCTGATGTAATTGCCGTACTTGTTGATGCTGCTGTTGTTTTTGGTAATGTTGATACTGTTGTTGCTGTAGTTGCTGATGATGATGTTGTTGTTGCTGCTGCTGTTGTGGTGTAGGAAGAGTTGGAATAAACATCTCACGCCATTTTTTTAGCAAGTTTTTAGATCGACGTGCAATATGTTCTGACTTTGTTCTACGCCTTAAGGTATTTATGTACATAGCCAGTCTGGTGGTTTCCAATTGTTCCTTTGTAATTTTTGCTCCTTCCAACATTGAGATGACAAGCAGTACAGCGTCCATATCAACAACCTATAAAATTGAGCTAATTATTAGAAGTCCGATCTAATGTTTTCTACTAATATTACTTACATCATAATTACTGTCTAAAGCGCTAATTAAACGATTTGTCAACTCAGTTATCAGAGAGTTGTTCATTTAAAGTCGAAGATGACAAAAGAGAATGTAAGTTTTCCTTTCTTCTTCTATATTTCTGTATAATTTACTTAAAATAAAAATTAAAATGTTTATACGTTTCTAGATACATAAGTTATATTTTTGAACATTAATGACGATCTGGAGAAAACCTCATAATTTCAAAGATTAAAAAAAAAATTTGTATTAAGTTTTTTTGTTGAATTTCAAATTTATCTTTTGTGAAATTTTTAATTTAATTTTCCCATAGGAACAAAAATCGATTTTAATGAAAGAGATACACCATCTCTTGTAAGGGTTTTTTTCATGAAATAATCATATTTTCGGATATTTTGATTCTACTATTGATACTATGTATCAACTGATAATTGAGTTTTAATTGAAACAATATTATAATAGTAATGGGTCATTATGTTTAAAAATTTCATTATGTAATTTGTATTTTTTAAAGTAAAATTAATCAAAAAAAAAAACCATAAATTTAAAAATTAAAAAATTATTTACTTTTTACACAAATTTATCCTCAAAATTTAACATTATAAGATTACAATCTGAAAAAGCAAAAAAATAAATTAGAATTGACAATCAAGTTTTTTCTTCAAAGATACAAAAATATCTTAATCTATGGTTAATAAAAAATCAAACCAGTGTTATTTAGATATTTGACATACATACACATAATTTTAAGGAAAATTTTATTCAGTAAGTTTTAAAATTTTTTTAAAACTTATTTTTTTCAACAGTTTGATTTTTTTTTTTCAATAAAATTGACTTTAAAAATATTGCTCTCAAAACAAAAATAATGTGGTGGGACCTTACTTTTTTTTGAAATATAGTTTTATTTAATTATTGAGATTTTTAAATATTCTAAAAACATCTAAGAAGGCAGTTTGATAAACGGAAAAAAGGAAATTAATCAAAATAATTTTTTGATTTATGTATGTATTTTACAATATTTTTCATTATTAATGGTTGAAATGAATATTTTGAATCATTTCACTAATTTTATTAAGTAATATAAATTCTTTGTAGAAAGGAAGATTCTAGAGAACCCCTGAATTCTAAATTCTTTCTTATAATATGGTAAGCTATCTAACTATTTATGAATAACAAATCCAGAGGTGTAATAATATAATATTAGGTAAAAATAGAGCACTAAATTTTTAAACCAAAACTAGATTAAGTTTTTAAAGAATTTGCTACACAAAAAAAAAAAATTCTTATAAAGACGAATCTACATTCATAATAATTTGAAAAATATTTTCGAATCCTGCTTCTTATAACTAGATAACATTAAGAACTTCCATAAATACTGTGGTTTTTAATTTAAATAAAAATATTTAGTTTTCTTCTAGTTATTTATGTACTTTTGCATATTTGGCAAAGGGGCAGTAACCTAAAAACAAAAGAGAATAGGTAAAAAATTATTACATGCTGTAAATATCATTTTTAATTTCATAATGTTGAATCTAAAATTATGTACATATATATTGTATAATTCAATAACCATCTACATATACAATATATGAATTTGAACTTCACAAAAAAATTTTTTTCCAGAAATTAATTTTAGGTAAGTATTAAATTCTAATTTAAAGAATTTTTTTTCCTTAATAATAATATTTTTGAAGATAGAATTTATAACTTACAAATAAAATGTAATGCGATCTGAAATTTTTTAAAACATCCTTGGAAATTCAAAAGTATCGATATTTACTCATTTCCTTACAACACATGATCTATGCTCAATGAAATACGTATATATGTACGTATAATACAAATTTGGGTAATATAGATCAAAATTTCAAGAATTTCAAATATTATTACTTCGATGGATTATATACGTAATTGAAAATTAAACTTCTAAAATATATATACTTATATACTTTATAAATTTTACAAATCTACTTTCCCCTAATAACAAAATGCATGAACATTTTTTTGCAACATTTTAAATACTCCACTCCCCATACAGGTATTATTTCATCTACTAAACATTGAATATTTGGCATTATCATTTTCCATTATTAAATTTTCACTTGTTTCAAAATTTTTATAATGAAAAAAATTTATAATAATAATTAAATAAATATTTTATACTAACAAAAATGCTATTCGCACTAAAGTAAAAAAAAAAAAAAAAATAGTGACTGTTGAATGTTGAGAACGTCGTAATAATTCAGCAATTTTTTTCTTCCTTCATTAAAGATAAAAAAAAAAGCATTTGATCCCAACACTAAAATTTTGTATAGATTTTTTTTTGCAATTTCGAATTCAAACATTTTTTTGTTTTGAGTATTTTTAACATGTGAATAATCTTTAATAATTTTAGTTCTTCAATGTTATTAAATTATATCGTACCGTTTCTATTTTAATGAAGTTTTTAATTTCAAAACTTTAAACGCGTGTAAAAGACTTTGTCTCGTAATGGCGGATGTGTTGCCAAATGTCAATATTCGCCGTCTGCCTGTCTTGCATCTACCCATTTACATTATCAAAACTTTTCCACTATCATAATCTGATTCGAATGACATTCTAAATGTCGTTTTGTAGTAAAACGTCAATTCAGGTGCTTATCTATTTTCACAATCAATCAAACAATGTTGTAGTGAGAATGCTATCTGGCGGCGATCCAAAAAGTTAAATTTAGTTATTTACTGCTTTCATATTCGACAAAATATAAGATTTACTCCCGAGTGTTTTGCAAGTCGTAAACATCATTCAATAATAGAAATCATTCTATTTTCCTTAGATTTACTACCATATTTTGCTATCAAAATTAATATCCAATACTAAAATAATCAAAGTTATAATCAAATATATTTTAAAAATTGTATATTAATTTTAATAGTTTTTTTGATATTTTTGTAACACCTTTTTTTATTTTAGTGTTCTTTTTTATATTTCAAGTAGATATTTTTCAAAACAAAGATTTAAAAATATTTTTTTGTAAATAAACAATTATTTAAAAAAGCATTTTCATAAATACAACGCTGCAAAACAATAATATGATACAAACGGAATATATTTTTGACAGTTGCAGTATTAGTAAACAGTAGAAAATTCTATTTCAGAAAAAATAAAAATTAAGAAAATTTTAAATTATGTTTTCTTACCTTAACTCACTCTCAATCGGGTCAAACTCAGACAATTTAAAAATGTAAACAAACTGGAAGAACTTGTAAAAAAAAAGGACAGGTTTTAAGACGGAAAATCTAAACTGTTGGAAATTAAATATTCTATTCAATTCTACGACAGTTATAACCAAATTAATACTTACATTAAGTAATATTAATTTTATTTAGTTAGAAATATTTTTGATTTACATATTTCAATACAATGAAAGCATATTTGCTCCTTGTTTTATTTTCGATTATTTTTGTTTATTTCACTCGTTTGAAATTCCTTATTAAGGCGATTAGGTATTTCTAAAACGATTCTCTAGTTCTGCACATTTGCTACGCTAGATGGCTTTGAATTGTTATATGGAAAATAATGTTCATATACGCGTAGTGTATGTTTACGGTCACATGAGGGGGCTACTCCTATTGACTTGATTTATTAAAAAGTTTGTTAAGCGCTATCTGCAGGGGAAATAGCGTAACAACAAATGGAATTGATAGCAGATGTTATTTTAGATTTGAACATTTTGGTTCACAAAATCATAATGTCGTCAGTTGAAAACAAATAAATGTGTCAAATGAATGAATTTTCTTACCAAATATTTCAAAAACATATTGGTTAGCTATTAGAACGTTAAATCTGACATGAAAGCGCTAAACAAATTTGTTTGGCCTGGCCAGTGAAATTTTTTTAATTGAATAGCTCTAGCGACACTGTTTTGACCTGTACTAGAAAAGTAGCCTCGATTTTTCAAAATACTATGCTACGCAGTTTGCTTTCTTATTGCATAGTTGAAATCTACTCTTTATAACTTAGATCTAATCATGTGTTATTTTTTATTCTACAAAATGGATCACAGATACAATGTAGTACTACATTAATACTGTACTTTGGATGTCAGGAATAATATTACTCTTTAAAATTTTTGCTTCTGTGTATGGAAAAGAAATTTAAAAATTTTTATATGGGGAGGTACCTGAAAATTTTCTGAACATAAAATTATAATTTAGTGCTAATACCCAAAAACAAAACAGAATATCGGATAATTCCTCTATTTTATATAATAAATTTGTTTTTTGATTGCTTACAAACTGAAAAATCAAAATAGTTCAAAATATGTAGGTAACTGTTTTTTTTTTGTTGTGTATTTTGTTCAAGTTCGATATTTTGATTAAGGATTTTTACGCTTGTATAAGAGTAAGAAATTTATATAGAAAATTTTGTGTGAATAAAATTTTATTTATAATGATATTTTATAATACCTGTAAATGAAAGAAGAATAATTTGGTTAAAAGTTTATATTTTAAATTTTTGCATTGTTTTCTATTTTTTTACTTTCATTTTTATTTTAATTAGTTTCAATTATTACATTAAAGATATTTTTATATAACAAAAAAAAAAAAAAAATGGTGTCAGTGCGAAAGGAAATCTTCAATTTTATTATTAATACAATTCACAACTCAATTAGTTGATTTCCTTTTTTATACATGTATTTATTGATATATATGTATGTACATATAAATACATATTATGTACTTATGGATTTAAAATATTAAACACTATCAAATTATATCTATTCTGATCAAATGCTGGTTGTTAATTTTAAATACACATATGCATGTTTTTATGTAGGTAAGCATTTTTATTACATTCGTCCGCGATTTTTTATTTGAAGTTCGTTTTTGTACAATATTGGGTCTTATTTTGAGAACTGAATCAATTTGAAGTATCGAATCACTAAATGATAGTGGTATTTATCGTAAAAGTTTCAAAAACCTTATTATAGAGACGAATCATTTCTATGAAATGATTCTATTTTTACAATAATTATCGAACGTTTTACGATATTTATCACCTTCATTTAGTGATCCAGTATTTGGAATAAGGCCCCGTTAAGAGACAGTGTTGTTTATCTTAAAAATTTAAAAAGTTACTCGATTCTCAGAATAAAGCTCGTTATATTCAAATATACTAAATATTATTATATATATGTACGTCGCATACATATATGTAATAATATTTAATACAGTTAATTGAAAACATAAGGACATACATTCAAGCATACATACATATAATTATATATATTTTGCAAGGCCAAATCTGAGAAAGATCGAAATAATAATGTTAAAATAATAACTTATTTTTATATATACCAAATAATTTTAGATCTACCAAACTTAATTTAGATATACCCAAATAATTTTGGTATATCAACAGATTTGGATCATTTTAGTTCTGTAATTTAAGTAATTTAATTTGCTTACTCTTTTAAATTGTTGAATTGTGCCAGAAATGAAGACCATTAAAATAAATCGTTTATTTTCAAGACGGCGGCATATTAATTTTTTGCATTCAATTTACATTGTGTCAAATAATATAGTTTTGGATCTGGTACGTGTTTATTTTTTATTTCTATTTATGAAATAGAAAGTTAGTTTAATGTTTTACAGTAACCAGATTTAAATTAAAAATTTTGTGTTTAAAATAAAAATTTCGAGTGTGTTTGGCTTTTATAGAATTTCATTCTTTAAAAATAAAAATACTAGTTTTCTTCTATAGAACAAAGTTTTAAATCATAAAGTATAAAAATATTTTAGCACGTTTTTTTAAATAAAAGTTTGGTGGAATTATAAAAATTTTCTTAATTTAAGAATTTATTTTCATATTAATAATTTTTAAATATTTTTTATACATTTTGTTACTCATTCTTTTAGTTATATCATATAATTTTCCATGAATTCTTAATATTTTATTATTTAATTATGAAAATTATTAAAAATACCAAAAAAAAAAAAACTTATTTTCTATATATAAATGCAGTAATACCTTGTTTAATATTAACCATTTTAAGGCGATTTGGTTATGTAAAACAATGTTAAAGATATTGTTTACTAAAACTTGTTACAATAATTATTCACAATAATACAATAATCGTTTATTAACAGTTTGATGTTAGATATGTTTAATATAAACACTTTAACCCCTAAATAATTTCGAAAAATGACTTAATGCTGCCGGAAAACTTAATCACCGAGAACATTTTTGCGTAAGAATCAATTAACTTCAATAAGTTGAAAGTTTAGTTCGATTGAGTACAAAACAGCAAAAAAATCATCCATAATTTATGTTCTTTACCAATTTTTTAATTCTGTAAATGACTCGAACTTCATTTCGTATTATTTTGTTTAAAACGCTATTAAAAATGGAAAGGTATTATTTGCATTAGAATAGGATATTACTGGAATATTTTCATTATTGATCTAGTGAAAATTCCTAATACCATAGATACGCATTGAATTTGTAAAGTTGCTTATTTATAATTTAAACTTATATGAATTTCTTACAAAAAATTATAATAATAAATATAAAAATTATATATTTTTTTAAAATTTTTTTTAAATAAGGCTTTTAGAAAAAATAATAAAGAAAATAATGTTTTTTTGTATTGAGAAGCATACGAATTAAGTTCAAGAAAAGAACAATAATTTAAGAATTGTTTTTATTAAAAATTCGAATTTGGACTTTATTTTAATTATACGTATTTAAGAATTACTTACATAGGTATAATATACGTATATTTTATAAAATTCATACATATTTTACTACTGAAAAACGAATATGAATATTTTGCTATATTTAAAATAGACAATTAACTTAAAACAAAATTTTTAATATTCGATTTTTGATTCCAAGTTCGAAAATTTGGTGGCATACGTGTAGTATGCACATGTTATTGACTTCTTTCAATCTTGTTATATTTTTTAGCTTTTTAGAAAAAAATCTCATTTTGATTTGTCATTATATTTAAAATTGTTTGCTTTTTCAAATATTCAAAAAAATGAAATATTGAGAAAATAGTTGTATTTTATTATGTATATTATATAGAATATAATATACCGAAAGGTTGATCGATCCGTGATATAACCAAAATAAGCTCACATATAAAATTTTATTAAAATTAATTCAGCCGAACTTACACGTATACGCACACAGACAGACTGTCTAAAAATAGTTTATTTACACTTCCTTATCATGGAGAAGTATGTTTCTACCGGAAACTGGACATGCTCAATTTGTTGCCTCTCTTATTGTATGCAATACGGTCGGTAAAAGGTACGAACTAATTGTAAACAATTTGGAAGCATCGACAGTTAAAAACAAATGAATGTCAAATAAACGAATTCTGTCACTAAGTATTACTTGGTCCTCATTACTAAAGCATATTGATTAGCTTTTAAAACGTTAAACCTGGCACGAAAGTGCTAAAAAATTTGTTTGGCCTTCTTAATGTTTTTATTTAAATAACCTTGCTTTGTTATTGCATAGTTAAAATCCATTTTTAGCAATTTGGACCTTACTAAATCGCAAAATTTTTTATTTTACGATATGGATCACAGTCCATAGATACAATGTATCGACACAATATTGCATTATGGATGTCAGGAATAGTGTGAAAATTTTATATTATATTTTTATATAACGTACATATTATGTATCTGTGCAGGTATTATGATTGTTAATTTTTTATAATCATATTTAATATTATTTTATTTGGGAAAGAGTAAAACATTTTTAAAAATGAATAGGTACTTAAAACTTGAACTGAACCAAAAAGGATGTATGTGTATGTATTTATTTATATTGATATTAATTAATTTGTATGTTAAACATATAGGTTATAAAGTACATCCATGTCATAATAATATTCGTATACATGTACATTTTCTTTTTTATAGTAATTAAAATTTAATATTTTAAAATGTGTATGTGTATAGTTTTCATAAGTTCAAACTTTTATAGGCAATTATTGGTATTTTTTCATCCAAATAATCTCATTTAAATTCAAAGCTGATATACATTAATATATGTATGTGTATATAGAATTTATAAAATCTCATTTTATTTATGCTTCGTTTTTTTTTCTTATTTTTTCATATAATATGATTATTGTGAATGAAAAGAAAAGAAATTTAAAATAATTAAAAATTTTTAAATAAAAGTTTTATATTAAATAATTTTTTTTATAGAAATTGTGGTGTGTGCTTTTGTTTTTTATTTTTTGATTTTTAGAATAAATTTAATAAAATCTTAAATACATTTAATTAAAAAATAATCTGATTGTATATGTAAGGTACATGATATAAATAAATATATATGTATGTACATGTATATATACGCACAGGATGTCTTGTTTCTAAATACACTGTCATATACTATTGTAAAAACCTTCATGAGTAAGTAAATCATACTAGATAATATCTTTTCAAATTTCGGAACCACATTTCGGTCTAACAACCCTCTAATTGAATTAGGTTTAATTAATTATTAAATTATTTGATAATTCTATTGATAAAGCTTTAATTTGCTATATCAGTTGTCTTCCTACTTAATATGGTTTGGAAGTTATTGAGATTGCAGTTCAATAGAAGAACAAAGACAATTTATTGCAGAAATTTTCTGGAATAGGATTTTTGGTTATTATTATAGCAATTTAAATTCGGTGAATTCAATTATTTTAATATTTTGTTCAACTATCCTCCATCCCTACTAGTTATAATTAGTATTATTCTTGCAAATTACAAAATATTTTCAAGAATAATTTTTGTTAAATTTTTAATTTCATGAATATTTTTTCAATTTTTTTGTTATACAAACTATATGTATGAATGTATACATGTATATATCTATTAATATACATATATATGTATGTATATACTTGTACCCTACACATAATTTAACTATATTATTTAAATTTTATTTTATTTTTTTTATAAATTTCGTTGTTCATAATTATTCTATTAATTATAAATATTAAAATTCTTTATTATTATACCTTAAGTTTATTGAATTGTTTTAATATTTATACAAATACATATAAAGTATTGTATTATGTACATATATATATATATATTATGTATACATATGCATACGTAATATGAAATAAATAATTGATGAAAAAATTAAAAAGAATAAATTTAAATTGAGTTTGAATTTTAAAATAAAATTTTCTCTTTTAAATAAATTATAAAAATATTATTTTAGTGTCATTATATAATTATTATATAAAAATTTTAAATATACATTGTATATGTATATATATATTATGCAAGTATAAGTGGCGAATGTGCGTTAGTATGTATTGTGTTTGTATAATTTGATTATTTTTATAATTAATAGTTTTTATTTTATCTTTTACTGTTTTTATTCTAAATAATTAAATTTATTAATTTTTATTTTATATTCTAAATTTTAACCTATGTAGTATGTAATTGTATTCAATTATTATTAAATATTTTAAGTTATACATATATAATTTTATGGCCAACCAAAATTTATACCAGTCATTTGATAAAATTTATTATTAAATGGTCTATAAAATTCTCTAAGTCTTTCAATTGCAGCTGGATCAATCCATGGATGATTACGTCCTTTTGTTTTACCTAAACAATGTGGCGTTGATCTGGCTTCGGATTTAAAAAGGCATGGGAATCCTTTTGATGAATTAAAATAAAAATGTTTTTCCGTAACAATACGTTTTAAATTTAGAAAATCCTTTTTTTTTTAACGAATAAATTATAAAGAGTAAAATAAATAAAATATTAAATTAGTATATATGTTATATAAGCATTAAATATAAGTATATATTAAAAAGAAAACAAAATTCAATTATAAATTTACTTACTTGAACTCTTCCTAATTCAAAAGCTGGATCAACAATTAATCTTTCACCACTAATAAATAAAAGTTGTGATAATGGAAAATATTGCAACCATTTCTCTAAATGTTTTGAGTATATTCCAATTTTAATAGGACCCCATGTAATATCTACTTTTGAATAGGATCCATTAACAAATGCTAATTCTTCAAATTTTTTCATATCAGATTTTTTACTTGAGGCTTGTGTATAATCTGATATTGCACGGGTAACAGGATCACGTACAACAATTAATAATCTATATAAGGAAGAATAAATAAAATTTTTCTTTAATAATTTTAATTTTATAATTTTTTAGTTTAATTTTTTATGAAGGATTCAGACTAAGCCTTCTCTTAATAATACCCAACTGATTTCAATAAAACAGGTAATCGATTTTATGTTAGTTCCCAGGTAATTGAGTGTAACATGAAAAAGGGATTAAACTGAATAAAGAAATTAAAGTTTTCTGAAAGGCTTTTATCATCAATTATTTTGGGTCTCATTTCCCTAATGCTTTTCCTGGTGTACCACAAAAACTAACCTAAGTAGATTAAATCATATGATCTGAAAATATTATTTGCTAAAGTTCTGGAAGAGAGTTAATGATGAGTAAATTAAACATTTTAAATTTTTAGATTAGTTCAGTAATCTCACTTTTTAAGTAGAATTCTCATTTTTCTTCATTTTAGATGTGTTTTTTTTCAATAAGGGTACTTACACTTACTCAGTTATTAAAATTTTAAAATATCCTTTCAGGGGTGAGAATAAAACCCTTAAAACTCATATTGTATAGTTATTAAAACAAAAGCACTTTTAAATGACACTTTTAATTTGCTATTAAAATATTTATTATCCTACGAAATTCAAAAGTACTGATAGTTTTTACTAGCACAAATATTTCATAAAAAAATTTCCCCTAGTTCTATGCAAATTTTTTTAAATTTCTCGAAAACTTATTTAAATAATTTTATTATTTAAAAATTTTTAATTCTCAGTAGCTAACTACAATATTATTAATAAGATTAAATATCACGCCGAATGTTAGTGTTTAAGACCACATCAAACACGTTAGAAGTAAATTCGCAGTTAAAAGTTAAGAAATAAAAATCATTATCAAATATTTTGATTTAGTATGTTAAAAAAAATGCATAAGAATCGGTTTGACTCAATTTTAAGTTGTGTAGTTGAATCTCAAGATTTCGTATCTTATACTCGTATTGTTCTCAAAGCAAAAGATGACTTAGGCTTAATTAGTATAAGTAGTTTAAATTTAATTTAAATAAGATTTTAATAGATTTTATATATTTTCCGTACCAAACCCTTGGTGTTTTACCAAAACATTTTACTAATATTCTGCATTTCTACGAAAAAATACTTTTCCTGTAATGTTAGGTATTATTAGCAGTATGTATAAAGTGCAAGAAAAATCATTTGGAATCGTATCAGAATTATTAACATTAATTACAAATATCATTTTATTTAATAATAAATATACCATATAGAATTCATTAAAATAAACAAATTTTACAAAATTATTATTACAGATATACATATATATGTATATATATATATATCTATACATATATATATATATATATGTATTTTTTAATAAAATCCAAATTAAATACACTTGAAATTCAAATTTAAATAAACTTTAAATTTTTTATTCTGTATATGAATTATTAATTGAACCTTTAGGATTTCCCATAGGGACGCAATATCCTGATTAAAATCAATTCTTAATTTAATTTATTAAAATTTTTATGATATTTTTTTACTCATGTTTGATATTTGATTTGTATGTATGTATGTACACATCCAAGGATTTTTTGATGTTTTTTTCTGATGTTATATCTTATGATTATTTATATAAGTAGTGAATGCTTAAATATTGTATTAAAGTTATAAAGGTTATACATGCGAGTACCATATATAATACTGCATATACATAAGATTTTACTTTAATTGCAAAGTAAATAAGAGAATTAAAAAGAAAAAGGGATTTACTAGGAAAGTAAATATAATTATTGTTATTATTATTATGTTTTGGCTTTTCTTAAATATTTAATCTGAAAATTTTATTTTATTTAATATTTTTGCTGTCTACAGAAGGTAAAAATTTTTTTCTCATCAAATAAAATTTTTGCAAATAGAATTCTTCCATTGGTCACCAGTAATAAATTTTATATTTGAGGTGAGATTTTACTGTCAGTTGTATGCAAAAAAAAAAAATACTGACACCCTTTGACTCAATTCTTAAATATAATTCAAGTAAGTGAAGGGGTTAAGGGGACGAGTTAAATAAAATTTCATTTCTTTTTGGAGAAAATAGACTTTAATATTCGGTATCACATAAAATTAATTAGACTTTTGTAATATTCGAGATTTCACCGTTTTAATTCAATGAAAAGTTATATTTTCAAAGATGGGTTTAATTGTTTAATATGGCCAATGATGCTAATAATTTACTAATTTGTTAATTGAATAAATATTATTTAATTACGAGAATTAATTCCTTTAATTTACGAGAATAACAAATTTTAACATATTTGTCGAGCAGGTAGTAATTTTTACAACGCTCTCTCGATTTCTCCATAAGTGTTTTATGCACGATAAGAAAATTGACACTGAATAAGAGAGCCGAAAACAGTATCTAGGTACAGAGAATATGAACGTGTGAGAAAGCAATATAAGGGAGTTATTACAAAAGCGAAAGCACTAGGTGTAAAATTCATTATTTCCTCATCGGTTAAAGATAGAAAATTTTTATAAGAAAAAAATAAAAACGGTACTCTATTCAAATAATTAATTTATAATCATAGTATATTGCATATATTGAGGAGGAAATTTAAGATTATATAATTTGATAAAAAGATTTTATAAACAAAAACATTGAATTTGATTGCTAATTAATTCATTTTAGGAAGTATATACATCCATAGAAGAACGATTACTATTATATTCTTCCCTGTTATATCATATAGATCATACAGTATGGCTATTTTCATATTCACGTCTGAAGAATGGTGATTCATAGTATGGGTTATTTTCGAAACTTTAAACTTTCTAATTGGAAAAAAGGTGTTGTAATTTCAAAATATCTATCCTGATTTTTGAATCTGTATTTGACTACTATTCGATTATTTGACTCTTACTCGATTTAAGAGAACGAGTTGATTTGCCTCTAAAACTTTGGTATAGTTTAAGAAATAGAGAATGCATTAATTGAGTTCAAGAGACTCGAATTAAAAATATTTCATAAAAATAAGTTGAAAAATTTCAAAAATTTATGTAGAATATTTGTTTTTACGTTTTATTACTGCAGAATTATATTAAAAGACACTATATTTTTATGTATATAATGTTATTAATTTTCTTACTCGTATACCAATCCCATCTAAACAAAATTTTTTTTCTTCATATTTCCTATTTGCTATAAAATGTATAACAGTAGACCATTTTAAATTGATAAATTATTACAAAATAATATTCTTTATTAAGTGTGCAAGGACACAATTGGATTTTAGAAGAGAAAAAGATAAAAGGATATGATTTTTTTTTTTTGAAAAATGAACCCTTTTTAATGAATTTTATATATAATAATTAATGGCTTTTAAAAATTTTATAGAATATCTTATTAAATATAATTTTAAATGTCAGAAGTTGAAAAAACTGCACAACGTTTGATTTTTAAAATTACAAAATGAAGCTGTTGAATTGAATTTTAAGAAGCAATTAATGATGAACTTGATGAAAATATTAATACTTTAAAAAAAAAATATATATATGAACATATATATATAAAAATTGAAAGAAAAATTTTTTAAACATTAGGATTTAGAATTTGTATTATGTAAATAAATGGCACAAAAACGATGCTTTTTAAATTTTTTTCAAAATTTAAATTTTTTTCAAATTTGTTAAACTTAATTGACTCTAAACTACATTAATCAGTTTTAAAAAGTAGTTAATTTGTCACTTTTCCAAAAATTTTAAAAAAAACAGTGTTTATTAGTTTCATTCTGTCCGTCCGTCTATCTGGTTGTGTGTTTTGTTTACTTCCACAGCATTTAAAATGAATTCGTGAAATTACACATAAAAATGGCCCCTGAGAGTCTTAAAAATGTCATTTATAAACTCCTTTTTTTTTAATTCTGCAAACGTATAAAAGTAGTGATGAATTTCTTTCGCCGCGGAATAGTATACGTAGAAAAACAAAATAGAGGTTAAAATTAACCCTTACCTAAAATTCATTTTTTTAAATTTTTCATATCGTTTTACTTCTTTTCTTCTTTTTCTTTAATGGCTTGAAAATTATAGCTTCGTTTTAGATATTAATAAATAGTTTATTCCGTTAGAAGAATATTTTTTCCACTTTTATTCACTTTCAAGTTATCGTCTCCCTAAATTTGTAAAATTTCGATTTTTCAGTACATTATATTTCTGAAATTATAAGCTTTTACAAATTTCAAAGTTAACAAAAAATGTTTCGCCATAAAAAATATAATTATTTATCTTAACTTATACAATTAACTCTTGAATTCACCGTTATGTTAAGGCCTCTTGAAATTTTTTTTTTCTGTCGTCCTAAAAGTATGCAATTTTCTGAAATATTTTGGTATGTATATTAATAAATTATTTTTAACAGCAACTGTTGAAGAGAAAATTGCTACCTAACAAATCTTTCGCTTGACCCAACTCTAATTGTTTTTTTCGACTTTCTCCTCATTTTTCATTTTATCATCTTATTCCTCTTATATAAATAAATAAAATTTAAATTTATATGTTTAAAATTTGAGTACTTACTCTTTGTAAAATCAATTTGTTTTTTTTTCTACTATACAATTTTGGATTTTACTACTACTGCATTATGTAATATATCATTATAAACATACCTTATATAAAATTTATTGCTTATATAATTCAACAGCAACTCTGTATTATTAAAATTAACGCATCAAAAAAAAAAGAATTAAAATTGACTTTATTCTGAGTATGAGAGAGACATACGATAATATTGCAATATTTTTTATGTACATTATACATATATATAAATAGGACTTTAAGTTGTCGCTAACCTAATATCTTAAATTACAAAAACAAAAAAAAACAGAAAAAAAATTTTATATTTCAAATGGTTTTATTCAAAATAGAATGCAAAAAAAAAAAAAAAATAAAAAGAAAATTGGAATAAAAATACTTGACAAAGTCAACAGCACATAGGCCACTTTATTAAGGAATTATCATTGTACACACACATATATATACTGTGTTTAGTAAAGGCCTATATGATATATGTATGTATATATAAAATTGTGTATATAAGCTTAAGAAATTTTAAATCCTTATACTTAGTTACCTTAAGAAATATGTTCTGTATACAGATTGTATGTGTACGTGCACCTTACATTTAAAAAGGATTTCAATTAAAATTGTATGTGAGTAAGAAAAATTCGTTTTTTAAGGATAAAATTTTTTTGAATCATAAAAAATATTTTTTCTTTTTTGTGCTATTTTTGTGAATTTCTTTATGAGTGGTTTCATTTTTTATTTTTTTTTTTTGATTACTATCATTATGAAAAATTATTGATTATGATTTATTTTTATTTACTTTACTTCTTTATATATATATAGGGTTATGTGTGTAATATAAAATTTTTAAGAGTATGTACACTCAGTACACAATATGTGGGTATATAGTAAGTGATTTTTATTAACATCATTAATTTTATATTATTCTTATTTTCTATATAGAATCTTCATTTTCGGTATTTTAATTTAGTTCTAGTACATACATATTTACGGTATATATATTATAATATATATTAAATATACAATTTTCAACATAAATGTAACCCAATTTTCGATTTCAATTTAATATATAAATATGCATATATACGTATGTAAGTATGTACATATGAAGATTTTTGTATAATAATGTGTAATAAAAGCGAATAATTTGCTTTGATATAATTTTGATGTTACCATATAAATGTATTTAAAGTTTAAATATATCACACTATACAATGTGTTTAGTATATATATATATATATGTATATATATATATGTATATATAAATGTACATACAAGTGTACATATGTATATATAAAATCATGTATATATGATGATTACAAGATTTCTTTAAAATTTATGTCGAGTAGAAATGTGAGAAAAAAAAAAGAAATCGTATTTTCATGTAGGTATGTAAGGTACAGAAAGGTGAGATCATTAAAAAATACAAGAAAAATAAGAAATTTTTTTAAAAAACTAGGTTTTTATTTAATTTCTAAAGTGTTTGTTTAGTATCCCCTAAAAATATGTTATTTTTTTTAGTTCAATTTTTTTAATTTAACTTTTTTTTTTTGCTTTTTTCTTTTATTTTTTCAAAATTAGATTTTATTGAAATAAAAAAAAAAATTAAAAACATTGGTTAATTAATTGTTTTTCAATAATTTTTCTCTGTGTATAAAGGAATTTGAAAATAAAATTTTTAAAACTGAATAAAATATCTTAAGTTTTATAATGTTAAAATTTTTTGTTTAATGACCGGCATTTTCATGTCCAAATGGGTTCGTTGAACTATAGATCAAATATATTTTTGTAATTTTAAATATGGGCAGTTGTTTTTTATAAAATAATGAAAATAATTTATAAATAAATTAATTTAATGCACTTGGCTATAGGAAATTTTGTGGAGATAGAAAAAACTGGATTATGGAAAGAAAAAAATTGTCTCTTTCAATAGGTTTGAAACATGAAAATGAATTTGTTTCTAAGCGTTTTAAGAAAAAGACCTTATACAAATACATTTGCACTGCTAAATTCGATATTGTGATCAAAAATACTTAAACTGCATTGTATTTTTTTTACAGTCCAATCGCTTTTAAAATTTTAATATTAATACTGCATTTAAATTGTAGTAAAACTCTTTTCATTGTATTTTAGATGTCACGGTCTTAAAATTTTGAGTTTATTATTTCATTTTTGTTTTATAATATGACCGTTTTTATCTTTGTTTGGCCAACCACTGTTAAAAAGTTTGATCAAAAATGTTTTTAAAACATTCTTTGTTTTACTCTCATTTCTTTTATTTTTGCTTTCCAAATTTTAATTTTTATTTTAAATTTTTATTAAGCCTTTTAATTAATTGTAGCCTTTACATTTCATTTGCCACAGTTTTTTTCTTTTCTATTAACGATATTTTTCTCTCTAATGCTCTCTTTTTTTTTATATTGAAGAGACAGAAACAGGGTCGCAAGGAAATAAGAATGCTATGAAATCAAATAAAGTTTGAAAGCAACAAAAATTAAGCTCCAACGCGATTACATTTGTAACCATTTTTTTCTCAGTGTTTAATAGGAAAATAATTATAATTATCTTATTAACACTTTAGTTTTGAATGAAATTTTAAAAAAAAATTTATTATCATTAAAAATTTACGGAATTTGATAATTTTTTCCAAATGTAATGTTTTATAATTATAATTTAGCGGATAAAATCTTTCCGGTCTACCGTTGTTGATTGCCCACGTGACATACGTTATGCAAGGGCGGAAGTATAATTTATTTGGCCAAAAAATAAGTATTTTTGTTAATTGAAGTATTTTGACTGAAAAATTTCTAAAGCAATTAATATGCAATATACTTAAGAAGCATTGCAAAATGGGCCAAGTAGCATTATGCATTAATTTCCTTTCAAACTTTTTTTAAATAATGGGCTTTATAAGGTAATTTAATCATTAAATGTATCAGAAAAGCAAGATTGCTAAAATACTAAACGTATTCGGCGCTGCTTTTATTTCAGAGTCTGTTGCCGCATAGTTTTTGTGCACCTGCTCCCTGGTGTATTTTCGTCTGGTTCGGTATTCTTGTATATAAATTTAATAATACAGATTCTTTAACTAAGCTCTCACATACTCCGACTATAATAAATACATGCAAACCCAAACTTTTTTTCTTTAAAATTAATTAATTTTAATTAATTTTTATTAAATTTTTTATATTTTTTTTTAATATTATAAATATTTTGAATGACACACACATATGTTAATTGAATCCTACATGAATATTAAAACCAAATAAATTAATTTTAAGTGTGCTAATAATGTGCTTCTTTGAAAACCCCTAATTTAATTCAAACTTGTTTTTTTTTTCTATTTCTATTTTGTTTTTTATATTGTGTAATATGTTTTTTTTTATTTACATTTTTATTTTGTTTTACAACAATCTATTGTAATTTTGTTATATGTATAACACTTAAATGGCTAAAAAGACACTCCAAGTTAGATAAGTATGTGTGTATATAGGCATTACATACATTTATTCATTGCAGCAACAGAATAGCGGATGTTACAAAAAAAAAATATCAATGAAATTGCACATTTTTTTTTTCTTTAAATGGAAAAACAGGAAAAAAAAGAAAAAGAAAATAATTATAAAATTACGATTTGTAACAAGGGGGTAGAAAAAGACAAATATTTTGTAATATTAAAAATTTTATGACAATTTTATAAACAATTTAATAAACAAAAATTGAAAATTTTTTTACATTTTTGTTTTGTTATCCTTGAAAATTTTCCTCCAAGAACAATTAATAACCGTTAATAAATTAGTAATTTTAAAGGAAACCTTTTTTTTGTTATATTTAAAAAAAATTTTAAATAATTTATTTAATATTAAATTTGGAACATGTGACGCGCAGAGAATTTAATTAACTCTAACTAATAGAAAAACAGACAAAAGAAACTTACTTTGTTGATGGATTCATATGATGTACACGTTTTGGTACTTCTTTTGTTACAAAATAACTTGGTGATTTTTCCATTGTTATTTGGCCTTCAATTGTAAATGGCATATGATTACGATACCATTGTAAACCTTTTTTATAATGTTTATCAAAAAAATGTATTTCACAGCCAGCTGCTCTTACATCCGGATGTAATCTTATAAATTCCAATAAAGCTCTTGTACCACTTTTTTTAACACCAATTATTAATGTATCTGGTAAATGTCTTGATGGTTTTAATCCTTGATAATTTAATAATCTATATTTTGGTGATGCTTCTGTTTCATTTAAATTATATATTAATGGTACAATTCTTACAATTGAACCAAATATTTTTATTTGTGACAATTCGGTGGTATTATTACTATTACTGTTATTATTATTATTATTATTGTAATAATTATAATATAATAAATTATTATTATTATTATTATTTAAATAATTTATTTTCGTAGTTGTTATATTATTATTATTATAGGATATTGATGATACAGATTTTAATGATGATGGTAAAAAATTACGAATTGAAGAATGTTTACGTATTGTTTTATGTAAATTTGTTATTAAACATGTATTAAATGTATAAGAAAAATATAATAATGATATACAAATTAATATTATAATAATAATAGTACGATTACTTAAATTAGAAACAAAATTAATAAACATTTTCCATATATAAATATAATTGTTATATATTTTTAAATATAAGTTAATTATAATATTTTTTTGTTTTATTTATATTTTAATATACAATGTAAGTAAAGACAAGATATAAAAATCAACAATAACAAAAATAACAAAAACAATAAAAAAATGTGATTTTTTCACTTAATTTAACTCTTTTTTTCTTCTCTCTTTTCTTCTTCTTTTATAACTGTTTTGTATAGATATATATATATATATATATATATAATGTAACGAGAAATGACTTTAATATATAATATTTTTTTTTGCTTTGCTTTGCTTTTAAAATTATTATTATTTTTTTTTTAATTATAAATTTGAGCTATTTTCAATTTTTCATTTATTAAATATAATTGAACTACACATTTTTCTATTTTTAAATTCTATTTTTAATTTTAATTTAATTTCTAAATTAACATAATATTATAATAAATAAATAATTTAATAATTAATATTTTCATAAGGATAAAAATTTTTTCCTAATATTAATTCTATTCTATTTGTGTATTGTGAAAAACTGGATATTGAAATGAAATTTTGTAACAAAATAACCCCGAAGAAAAATTTGCGAGGAAATTTTTAATACAAAAAAAAAAAATTTCCCATATTTTTTTTGTAAAATAATTTTTTTCTGTCAAAAAATTTATACTTTTGAGAAATGTTTTTATTGTAGTTGATTTACTACTATTTTTAACTTAAATGTCAAATAAGTATAAATTATTTAAAATAAAAATTTTTTTTTTGAATATTTATTAAAAGAAAAAATCCGATTTCTTTCAAAATATTAGGAAAAGGGAAAAACTGTTATTGTTGATATTAAATATTAAAATAAATCTATTGTAAAATATTTTCGAATAATGGAAGTTTGTTCTGCTAAAGAAGTTCTACGAAATCTTTAATTAAATGGGAAATCAAGCTAACTTTTCGATTTAAATTTTAAAATTTCAATAAAGAAATTTGTATACGGTAATTGCTGCCTATTTTGAAAATGTGGGTGTTTCGAAAAAAAAAATAATGTAATTACAATGTTACAAATATTCGAATAATTGTGAGTCGATGATGCTTAACGGAAATTTTGAAAAGTTTGAAAATCTCCAGTTGCTCTACTTAAATATTAATTCGCAATGAAAATGAGGAAAGGTAATTAAGAGTGAATGCAAACATTTAATTATAGTGATTATTGTATAGCTTTCAAATGTAGTGTTGAATTTTTTAAATTTATACTAAATTTATGAGTAAAATTATTGTAAATTTTTTATTACGCAAGAAATTTTAGTAAAAATATTTACAAAATTTTTTTCATATACGGCAATATTCATTCGAAAAATGGCGGAAAAATTTTATTTTATTAAATATTGTACCTATTTTGTCTTTTCGTTTTTATACTTTATAAATCGAAAATACCTAATTTTTTCCTAAATAATTTATACAGCTAATAAAAATTTATTGTTTTAACAATTAAATGTTTTTATGATTTCAGAATTGAGAAGAAAAAAAAAAAATAACAACAAAATAAAAATAAAGTCAAATAAAATTGGGGAATGTAAGAATTTCCCTTGACAATAAAAATATTTTGTTATGCGGTTTATTTTTTTTTATATTTTTTTTTATAATTTTACGTTTTATTTGTACCTGCGCATTAATGTTGTTATGGGATTTTTTTTATTAATATTTGGGAATTTCTACTTTTTGATTTTTTGATTTTCTTTTTTTTAAACTTATTTCTTATATTTTTTTATTTTGTATTTCTGTTTTTTAATTTGCAAATTTTTTTTTTTTTCATTATAAAATATTCAAGTTTACACAACATGTGATATTAGAGGAAATTAGTGGTAGTGGGTTAAAAAAGAAAATTATGAGTTGAAATTATGAATTTGGTTATAGATGAAAATGGAAAAATTTCTATTTTTAAAGTGATGCAAATTATATTTTTAATAGGACGTTTATATAAATCCAAATTTAAAATTGAATTATCTTTATTTTGTAATAGCTGAATAAATTATATTGGTGTTGTTACATATTAATTAATAGTGTGTTGTTTAATTATAAGACGTTTGTGTTGCCACAATCACGCGATCATATAGAGAATAAAATGTCCATTTGAATTATATTCATGAAACTTGTGTTCCATAATTCTGTGATATGGTTTTGAAACATATTTTGGAAATGAAATACGTCTATAAGCTAGAGCAGATATAAGAACAGCATTACTGAAATATTGAAAATTTTTATTATTAAGCTTCTTCTATTACATTCATATTGATATCTGAATTTCAGAAAACGTCAACATATTACATATGAACTTTAATTATCTATCAAAATTAATTTATCTGAGAAATAATTTTACTATTTAAAATTAAACGAAATTAAACAATCGCATTTGTACTGTTCGGCATGTAAACGTACTAATTGTTGTTAATGAATGAAATATTTATTTTTTTTTTCTATTTTTGTTTATAATTTTTTTCTCTGTTTTTTTTTTTTGTTTATATATTTTAATAAAATTGTTTTTGTATGCTAACATGCTACCAGTTATTTAATTTTCACCCTAATAAATGTTTATTATTTTGTGGAAAAGAGGGTTGAATAACAGATGTTTATTATTTACATAATTTTAAAATTAGAATAAGAGAGAACTTTTTTATAATAATGCTTATAATATTTTGTACATATACATAATATATAGATGGAGGCACAGGCAAGTATACATATGTGTACGTACATATAATATGTGAACGATAATATATGTTTGTATGTATGTAAAAGAATGGAATAATTAAAATTTTTGAAATTTTCATATTTTAAATGTTGATTTTTTTTTGGTTCAAAGAAATATAGAAGAAAATTTCATAAAGTGGAAATTTTCGTGGTTATGTTCATTTATTTTTTGTTTTTGTGCTATTTTTATACTTTTTCTTTCGTATTGCGTTGCGTATATGAAAAATCCCGTTGTGTTTAAAGATGAATAAAGGTTTCCGTCATATAATTATAAATTTTCTTTTTATTTGAGAGGGAACAAAGTTTGTTTTGTATTTTTCTTTTCTCTCTTTTTTCTCTTTTTACAATGTACAATTAAAACAAAATCCTTTAAATTTTTAATATTAGTTTACTGTTTGTAGGTTCAAAGAATGAATTTTATATTATGTAAACACATACATATACATATAACGTATATATATAACAATTCTTAAATGTTTTATAAAAAAGAAATTTTGCGGTTAAACACACACAGAACGCATAATAATTTTTTTTTTTATGTAAAGGATTTTTTATATAAAATATTCATTTGTCAATTTTAAATTTACAAAATATTATTTTGTGTTAAGAGCAATATTTACTTTTGGTCTTGTATAAGAAAAGGAAAGGAATTTTATATTACAACTAATGAAAACAATAGTGACTAAGTGTTAACAAAAAATTCTAAGAGTGGCTTTATCTTTTCCGTTATTTAAACAGCAAAGTTCATTACTATCAACGAAATTTGTATAAGATTTTAGTGATCTCATATAATACTTCGAATTTTTCTTCAATTTTATAATGCCTGAGAAAAATTCAATTGAACGTTACATTTCAAACAGTCAACATTTTGATGTTTAAACGAATATTGTAATATTGCTGTAACGTTCGATTTAACGGCAAATAACATTCTATATACGCACAATATGCACCCAACTGCAATAGCCCACATAAAATTAGGAGTAATTAAATAAATTTTAAAAATAAAGATTCGAACCCATCTATCGAATGGATTCTGGTTCGTATATTCAAATTTACAGGTTAGTGTTTATGTCAATATAATTACAGGCTTTCTATATACAAAACAGAACATTCCTATTTACAAATTATTCCCATAAATATATTTAGGAGTAGTTTTGATTCTTACTTTCCTTGAAAATTAATGCGCTAATTGAATGAAATGCGCTAAATTAAATGAAATAAATAGAATGAATGAAATTGTCTCAAAATAACCACGATTTAAATATTTCAATTGTTCAACAACGGTTTAATTAAATTTTCAAAATATTCTTTTATAATTTCTAATTTTATTGTTGCGCTCTTAACTTATAAAAATATTGTAAAATTTTACTTGCTATATTAAAACCATAGATTTTTCTGATTTTTTTTTTTGTTGAGGAACGAAAAGTGAACGATTCGTATCTAATTGTATTTACAATTTTATTCACAAATTATACACAATTTGATGCCTTAGGCTACTCCGAAAATATTTATATTTTATTGTGTTTATAAAATAAAAACTTTTATTTACAATAAAGTATTAAATACCTAAACTTTGGTAAATAAATTAACAGACTTAAACAATTTTGATATCTTTGCCGATAAAGAGCATCGAATATTAATTTTGAATAATTTTGTTAGAAAATTTATTAAAATTTAAATATTGTTGTTTTGTATAAAGAGCGAAGGATATAGAAATAAGAATTGTTTAAAATGATTTAAAAAATATTTAAGAAAATTTCATTCCTGTTAATATTTTTTTTTCCATATTTAAAATGTGAAATTTGTGGAAAATGATTTTCAATGCCTTATTAGATTTATATGTTATTATGATATCACCATATGAATTTTGATCATCATTTATCATGAACTCAATTTGAACCTAAATATACATATACATATGTACATATATGACCATTGACATCCTGCAATTGTGACTAAATATTAAATTTTATTCTATGCTCTTACGGACGTACGAGTATATTGAAAATGAAAAATTGCTATAACAAGAATTGTTGATGTTGGTAATTTGGCAAATTTTATCACAGAGTGATTCTGTAAAAAGAGAAAAAACTTTTTTTAAAAGAAAATTTTCAATTATTGTTGAAAAGTTTTTAGCATATAAGAATTTTAACGAAATTCCATACTTGTTGACATTTTGGAAATTGCAATTTTTTTCCAAGAGACATAAAATAAATATAAATGTTTTTGAAAAAGCTAACAAAATTTGATTTTTAGATATTACCTTATTAGTTTTAGGAAATTTTATTTTATTTGTTCGACTTTTTTGCACAAAAAAATTTCAATCTGTACGTTCGTCCGTCCGTTTGCCCGTGTGAATTATAAATTTACAAAACTTCTACCTCTAAATGTTATAGCCCTTCAAAGGCGTAAAAATGTCGTAATTTGAATATTAATTGCAAGAAAACAATATTACTACCCTAAAACTATGCAATATATTTGAATATTTGAATGAAATCATTTTTAATAATGTTTTAAAAAACAGTTTATCACTTGTTTTAGAAAAGGTGCTTCTTTACAAATCATTGTTTTGTTCACATTTTATTTATCTTGACAATCCTATCGGAAATTATTTCAAAACTTCATTTGATAAAATTTTGTTTCATCATTTCAAATTCAATTTCAATTGCATAGTATAAAATTCTATTTTACAGTTCATCACGTATAATGAATAAAGCTAAAAGCCATTTTTTTTTTAAATTTTAACAAAAGTTTTATTAAAAAACTGTGGTTTTTACTAAAAAAGTTTCAACTTTGTTAGGCCTCTTACATAATGTTGCGCTTTTTACGGAATCGCCCTGTATAATTCACTGCAATTTATAAACCTACAATATATGCGTAACCAAATCTTGATCTTAAATAGAAAAAAAAAATTTTATATATATATATATATATTTTTTTGTTTTAATAATTTGATTAATTTAGTGATATTATTTTGATAAAATTTCTTGACAAATTAGCATAATATAAAGATTAATTATTTAGGCTTTGGGTTCAATATATTTATGAAAGAGAGAATTTTCCATACAAGTATTAAGAGACCATTATTTTGTATTACAAATTATAAGAATTTTTCTTCAAACAACTACAGGACTTTTCAGTTACTTTAGCCACCTTAATATGAAGAAAAATGATGGCATCTAATAATTAAAATGTTGTAAGTTTACTATATAATATTAATTCGTCATATTATCGTAGTCTATATTATTATAAACTTTTCTGTTTTAAATAGAAATGAATAGTTGTATAAAAGAATTGTATTTGTTCAATTTGGAATGTCATGTACAATTTAATTAACGTTACACATTTTACCCCTCTTCATATATTTTTTGTACATTTATAAATATATTTTGCATTTTGTACATATTTGGTGCATTCTTTTCAAAACTATTATGGAATATAAGTTGGAAATAGAATTTGCAAATGATATATTCTATTTGTATGTTCTGTTATATTTAAGAGTAAATAATAAGTTATGTGTAACATATGTGTAAACATATTAAGAGCCATCTTTCGGAAAAAATATGTGTAACTATAATTCTTTAAATCGACTACTATTTTGTAAAAGAAGACTTTGCAGGAAATGTTATACATTCATCTTATGTTGTTATACATTGAGAGTGTTATATACAATCGAATGACATACTCTTAAATTGAATGCCCTTTTATATTATTTACTTTACATATAAATGTCATATTAAATTAAATAAATAACATAATAGTATATTATTTCTAAAAAAAAATTTTTTTATTCAGATTATTTTCATTCAATTCATCATTCATTATCATTTCAATATTCAAAAGCAGTATAATTAAATCCGAGGACTTTACATTATTTAAAAATTACTATACAAAATCATGCCTATTAATTTTTATTTTGATTGGTGCATAAATTTATTTCAATATTTTAAGAATTGATTGCTGACATAATGCAATTAAGTATTATTATTAATCGTTTTTGTAATAATAATATTAATTATTCTACATATATGTATATATACATACATATATTGTTTGCGCAATTTATTATATTAAATTAATATAAATCCTTTAATATATTTTGAAAATAATTAAATTAAAACAAAAATAAAAAATATTTATGTATTTTGTGAACTTTTCATTATGTACATACATAGCTTGTTAATAATAATAATAATAATTATATAAATTATTTATGATTATTATGAAGTGCTTGCTTGGAAACTATAAATAAATAATTAATTTCAGAATTATATATGCATATTTTATTAAAAGTCAAGTAACCTACTTTGAAGATAATTTTTCAATAGAAATATGAGTATACTAAAAATATTCTTTTAATTTATTGCAATATATAAAAAATTTTAATATTTATAATATGCATTCAAAATGTATAAAAAATTTAAAATTGTATTATGCATTTGCAATTTAATGACTGTGGTATTTGAAATTTTTATAATAATATACGAGTAGACACAAATGTTCCGAAAATTTTTAACCCACAACATGTATACTTACCATATGTCTTCTTTTCAAAGCAATTCAAAACAAATTTTCAATTTCATTCAAAATTTATTATTCAATTTTAATTAATTTAGCCTAGTTTTATGCAATATTTTACGTATTTTTATTACATTATATATTATAATATTTGTTTTAATCGATCTACCCCTAAAAATGTATGTAATGTATGTAGCTAATGTTTATGTACATATATATTCGTTGCAATAAAAATATTTTTCATGAGAATCTATAAATCATTATAAATTTGTAGGGGTGTATGTAATAATAAATATTTATTAAAAATTAACTGTTATATACATATACTCATACTATTTATATGTATACTACAGTTATACATTTAATCATATTATATTATCTTGTGATAAAATGATTATTGTCCTCCAATCTCTATAGATAAGAAAACTTCATAATATATGTCTCATATGCTATTTTTTAAAAAAAATAAAAACAAAAATATTAATTAAACTTTGTGAATTTCTTATCTTATCAAATTGCCATATTGTATGTACAAGTATAGTTTTAGTTACGCAAGTACATATATATATATATATATTATACAAATTATAGCCGCGATAATACGCAAAGATGATTAATATTTATTTATACTATTATTTTAATACGAACATTTTAGGTGTTTTACATACACATATATATACTAACAGAATTATCATTCATAACAAGTATAAATTTGATCGTATGTATACTAAATTATAATTTAAATTTAGAAACTAAATATAAGTAAGTATAGAAATAATAAAAAACTATGGTGTGAAGTTATTCTTAACTTCGTAAATAATATCGTCAATATTTTTAAAACTATGAACTAACTTTAAAAATTAATTTTTTGTTAGCACCATTTAATTATAATCATATTTTCTCCGAGTAAATGACACACACATATAGAGAATAGTTCGATTAAAATCTCCATTGACCATAATGCAAACTGCGCGGTGTGATAAAATGTTTTAAAATGAAAATATAAAGTTTTGTGGTTTTAAGGTTTTTGATGGTTCAAAAACATTCTAAAAAAGAACAGTTCAATTTCATTTTGTTTGTTTTGAGAAAATTTATAATAAATTGACACAACTATTCTCGTGAGTTCATAGTGTTCTAATGTCAAATAAAGGCGAATGCATTGAGCATAAAATACCTATTTTACTTTTGTTTTATGAACACAGAGTTTGTTCATAATGTATTTTTTCTTTACTGTAGATAATTATATGGCACTTCAAGTGTGTACTATAAAGAATAAAGGAATTTCAAAATGAATAATAGATAGCTTTAAATCTTTCTCTTAAAGCGTACTTGAAGCCCTACTTATGCCTACTTAAACGTTATTTAACTTGAAGCCGGCTTCTTTCAAGCCAATTAAAAAATATTGCTTATTTGACGTGAAATATAATGGGTAAATGAAATTTTCGACCTTTCGAGCTAACATAGTAAAAACCCAGCTTGAGCTTCTAGATGATTTCAAGTCAATTACTAAAACTGCTATATAAAAAACGAATCTATTTGTATAATCCTATATAAAAATATCACAAAGATGGTAATGATTGAATTTCATTTTCATAATTTTCAAATATTGCAGCAGTATTGCAATACTTTTCAAATATAAAAGTGTCATAATAGCAACAACAGTAAATTAATTCACCTGATATATAGTAACACCTATGTGTATAATACCGTATATAATATACGTATACGGATAAAGCAATCATATATATGTATATATATATTTATAAATATAGAAAAGGTGAATGTATGTATGTATGTAAAAAAATTCAATATTTTTAATTTACATTTATTTTTGTTTTCTTAAATTTTTTTTCATATAATTTTCTTTACTTCAGTCCAATCAAAGTGTTATTCTTGAACGGTTCAAGTCTACATTCAAAAAGAAAAAAAAGGACGAAATTTTATTTTTATCTTTTAACGATTTTTTCATTCATATTTCATTTTTTGTGTTGACTTTCTCGTGATATTTTTTGATTGTTCTTATTCTTGTGCCGCGTGTTTGTTCTTATTTTAATTTTATATTTTAACCGTTATATGATTTTAGATTAAAATAATTACAAAATATAATAATAATGAAAAATTTTTGGATATGAGTAATAAATTCTGTTACGTAATTTTCTAAGAAAAGACCTTAAAAATTTAAAATAGATTAAAAGAAAAATAATTAAAAAAAAATAATAATTAATTTTTATACGTTTATTAAATTAACCCTTTAGTGGAATTTGGGTGCGAGACTTAAATAAAATTATTTTATTGAATGTTTTGTGGTGGTTTTTAAAAACCACATTAAAATTTGTGAAACAATTAAAATTAGTGTTGAAATAAAAAAAAGACAGAATGTTGAGTTGTGTAGGTGATTGTGGAAATTGGTTAGGTGGAATAACCCCAAGATTTATAGGTCAGTTAGAATAACAAAAAAAAAAATTAATTTTAATTTTTTTAATTTTAATATATTTTTGTCCTATTCTCTCTCCTTCCTTCATTTATTAATATTGTTTTTTTTTTGTTTTTTAGCAACATTTACATTTTTACCATGTGGTCTATTAATGGGTTATTCAATGGCGGCATTTTCAATTGATCGAGATCATTTAAATGATTTTCTATATTATGGACCATTAATATTGGGTTGTTTAATTGCATTAATAATGGCGTCTGTTTATGTTGCAACAAAATTTTGGCGTAATAAAATTTTATTCTTTCATTTTGAAGTTTTTATTGCAACAGGTTGCATAAATATTATTGCCAGCATATTGTTTTTTATTGATAATTTAGGTAAGTTAAAACAAAAATAATAAATATTTTATTTTTAAGAAAATTTATTTTTAATAATATTTTTAATATTTTGACATCAGAGGACATTAATAGTTTTGTTTTTTTTTCCTTTCCTAATTGTAATACTCGTAATTATAAAATCGATAAAATATTTTTTTTAATTCCAAGAAAATTTAAATTGTACCACTCTTTTCATTTTTTATTTAAGGGAGCGGAAGGGGTAATTCTAAACAATATTTTATAATTCTTACCTACTTATATACAATTGGTGTTGTTGTTACCACTTTTATATTGTTTATTATTATTAATAAAATGAACCCTTGGAGATTTTTCCAAAGTTTTACTTTATTTTTTTCTTGTACTTTATGTTTACTTTCTGATTTTCTTTAATGTTAAAGAGCATTACATAGAGAACATGTTGTATGTATAAATTTATATAAAGGGTACATGTACATAAATATATAAAAATGTTTGTGTAATTAAAATGGTTAGATTTTATATGAACAACTATTATACAGGTGATTGCATGCAAAGGATTATTGATTATAAGCAAAAAAAAAAATTTAATGTGCCTACAATATTTACGTTGTATTACACTTAATATTTTCTGTTATATACAAAGGTAGCATGTGAAAATTATTAACTGAGTTAGCACATAATAAGAAGATTAAGTTTTAAATTGAATATTAGATTATTATGTATGTACGGTTTTAGCTCATACTTTGTAAATATAATGGTAGTTAAATTAAAAATTTTTGACATGACATTTTGTGTATATGAAATTAAATTTACATAATGTGTTATACGAATTGTTGTTAACGATTTAATACTATTATATTATTATATGGTTCTTTTGTTATATTCTTATTTGTTATTCATAAAAAATGAAAGTGGTTAAATCGAGTGTTAAATTGTATGATAAACGAAATTGAAACTTTTAGTCGAAATTAGTTCAGATTCAATTGGGGTGTTAAATTTCTTTTAAGTGATTAGATTCAGTTCTAGATGAATTGGTTGAATAAATCTATTTAGTTTTCGGAGTTAACTATTTAAGAATTAGGGAATACAGTTCCAATCTTTGGTAGAGTTGTAAAATGCGGGAAAAACTGCAATTTAATGTCAAATATTCAATAATAAAATTTTTAGGTTAATTTTTGCACTTATAAAAGGGTTAGTTTGTACTCAAGGATTTCCAAATACAACGGCCTTCCATTTGCAAATTATGTGTTCACACCTGTGATTTGGAATAGTTTTGAGTATTTTGTTCCTGTAAAAGGAATTCAATAATATAACAGTGTAGGTATTGGATTGTGAAAGAAAGTAAAATAAGTAACAATAGTAACAAAATAACTCTTTAAGTAACAAAACTTAAGAGGGTTTCGAAAAATTATGTATTTTGAATTACTTAAAAAAGTTTTCACTCGAAATTTCTTTTGATTTCACTCGAAATTGCTTTAAAATTAATGGGATGATAAGATAAAAATAATTAATGAAAATACTATTTTTCTAATGTAGAAAAAATAAATTTTATAAAACAAATCGAATTAATTACTAATTATTCTATATATACAGATTTATAATCTATAAGTAGTTAAACATTTTCTTATAGAGAGAAATAATTGTTTGAAATGTCCAGATTGTTAAAAAATGTATCAATTTTGATACAAAAGCAGTATTTTTCATTACGTGTTTAGTAGACATGCTCTTGTATGTGTAAATGTATGTATAGTTTGTATTAGTAACCTTTAACCCCTAAAATATGTTTGAATTTAAAAATTTTTACTGTAACAAAATAATTACGGTACACCTTACTTCCTACTCTTAATTTGATACATATTACATGAAAAGTACAATATGTCCGACAAAATAAATTTCTATAATGGCAAAGTTAATTAAATTAGTTTTTAATGAAATTTTAATTATTTTACATTTTACAAGGACATGTTAATAATAATTGAGAAAATAAATATTGTTTTAATATCAATATTTATTTTAAAATACTTGTATAAGAATAGATTTGGTCTAACAATATTATAAAATTGTTTTTGCGTTACGTACGTCAACTTATAAGCTTTGAAAATAAATTTAAAAGTGAAATGAGAATTAATGTCAAGAATTAGTTTAAACAATAGTCATATGGTGCTGTAGTACATTTATAAAGATCCCCACATTACATCCAATCGATTTACTACCGCAATTTTAAATCGGTTTTATTTTTCAACCTCAAGCAACCAGTTACGAGTATTTAATTTTTTGAGTTTCCTGACTCTTTGTTTTGTGATTTCTTTGACAGTTGTCAAAGTTATATTGCATTCAGTTTGTTTTACAATTTCGCCAATAGGAGCAGATATGTGTTTGTGAATAATTTATTATTTCCTTTCATCTATAAGAAATAAGATTATTGAATATAATAATTTTTGATAGAATCGTTCAACTGTTTTCGATTTGGGGTCTTAATTTTGTATAATTATAGAGTACGCACATATAAGCTTTAGATCTGTTGTACATAGTCAACAAAGCATCGTAATACTCGTACTTGTCATAAAAAATATTGATTGAAATTTTCATTTATTATTTTTTTTTCTTTCATAATTTTTGACCTAAAATTTGTGATTTTATAAAAAATTTGTTTCTTTTTTATGAATCAATACAATGTGTAAATTTGTATATATATTATATACTTACACATACACACATTATATACACTTTATTTTATGTGTATATTTAATATTCTTTGATAAATATAGGTGGCACTTTTAAAATTATATTGAGAATATTAAATTTTAATTAAAAATTATAATCAATACAAATTTGAATATTTAATCGTAAAAAGTAAGCCAATTTTAAATAAATTTTTTGATATTTTGAATTCTGTACATGTGATGTATATATGTATGTATGTACTGCATATATATATATACTTGTATATTTTGTTTGAAATATAAAATTTCCCCCTTTAATAAATATTATATATGAATATAAGTATTGTGATGAATAAATTTAATAACAAATAATTAAAAATATTCTTAATAAAGGATTCTGTTAAAATTTTATCATTGATCTTATGAAATTTTAATATTATTATGTTCCGTAAACGCTCTTAATAGAAATAAGAGTTAAATTTCCTGGTAATAGAATGGTAAATTTAAAATTATTTCGTCTAAAATCAATACATTTGATATCCTTTTTTGCATTTGAAACATGATATGAGAATTCACTGCCTACAAGTTGATGTTGCCAAATCAATAATTTTGATTATTAATTACACTTAAATATTATTATACAATTTAGGCTGGATAAAAGGTGTCTACCTGAAAAGATGGAAAATTTCTGTTACATAATGAAATTATTTTGCGGTCTCTTGAGAAATTTTTTAAAGAAATTTTACTTGTTTTAGAGTTTTTTCTTATAGCATTTATTACTGTGAGCTTAACTGTCTAATTTAGATCGTATTTTTACCAATATAAGCGGTAGATTTGTAAAATCATCTTTTCAAAACGGATTCGTTTTTTCTATCAGGGCTTCGTTGTTAGCCATTATCGACGTAAATTCATTTGGAGTATAAAATCAATTATATAATTGAGACCTATATAGAATTTAAAAAATATTTTAGAATAAATCGAATTTTTCAAATATTTATTTCATATTTAAAATAATTTCCGGGTCATAAGTCCCATTTTCCGCTATTAGAAACTTGATTAGTTTTAACTTTATTTTTTTTTTAAAGTTAAAATATTATAAACCAGTTTTTATTGTTCAAATCTTTCTTAATAAATTCTGATTTTACAATGCTCTATATATATATATATATTATTAAGGGAAAAATCAAAAAGTTTTGAAATGTACAACATTATACACAATAAAAAAATAGAAAAACAAAAAACAAATGAAAAGTTTTTCTTTAAATCTTTTTGGTTCTTATAGAAAAAAAAAAATTGAAAACTTTTTTGTTAAATTTTTCATTGTGTATCATCTAGAGCAGCACAGTTTCTTTATTTTAAATAAATTTTTCAAGTTTTTCAATTCAGGGATTCCATATAGTAAGAATAGAATATTGAATTATTTTTGTATTTTAAGTATAAAATATGAAAAATTTTAGTTTCTATTTTTGAAAAATTTCTAAGTTTATTTTCGATAAAATTTAAAGAAAATGAAAAACTTTTCTGTTTTGAATATTAAAAGCAAATAAAAAAGCTGTCAGTAACTAACTAAATCCACTAGAGTCTAATAACAAACAATTGGTGGCATTGGATTAAATAAAATTATATTTAAAATTTTTACAAGAAAATATAGTTAGGCAAGAGTATAAAGTATAACTATGTACAGAGCATAAATATAAAAGTATTTAAGATTGTGTGTTTGCGAAAATATCCTTATATATAATAGACTGAAAATTCTAATATAATTCCAAGATTGGAATGAAATTTTACATAATGACCAGCTAAATGATTCAGTTGAAATTGTTTAAGATGAAAACAAAATATTACATTGCTCTTTTAGCACATACATACAAACTTATTAAATGCATTCATATTGTTTTATAAAATAAAATAAATTTTAGTTGAAGTTGAAGTACTTTATATAAACCGTTTCAATATTAGTTAAAAACTTTTTTTTTTTTAAATATATTTACGAAATAGGAACAATTATAAAATTGAAGAGAAAGTTTCATTATAATTTTTAAAATCACAATAATGTAGAATCATACAAATATACGTTGAGTTCAATGTGTGTGCATTTATAGCGTTTTTTTAATGAAATGAGCCAAAGAGCCAATTCTGAGCAAACAAAATAATTAAACAATTAAGTTTTCTCTTTTATATACTTATAGATAAGTTTAATTAAATTTTTCAATTGTTTTTTAAATTTCTTAACAATTGCAGTTATATTAATGGTAAAAGTATTTCAAGTAGATATATAAGATGTTTGAATATTGTATTTTAAGATGAAGAAAGTACTTATGTATTATTCTTATATGAATGTTTAAATTGTTGGTTACAAAATTAACTGAACACGAAAGTGCATATGGGGTCAAAATTTAATTCATTTAAATTTTATTTAGAACAAATTTGAATTCACAAAAATATGCAATGCCAGATTTTCTTCACATATAAGCTATGAGAAATTTATATTTAAACCCTAACCCTAAATGGACACAGTGTATACGGTAATCAAAATGTCACCGCAATGTTGGTGTGGAAATTGTATGGCGCGGAAGTATATAGTTATTGCTATAAACAGGGTTTTGTATATAAAGTCATTAATTAAATATTAAATTTTTAGCTACAACATTTGAAATTAGAAATTTTTGCTGTTCGGCTATTTTGCAAATATATATTCGAATACATGGAATTCTTTTTGGCAAGTGCAACCCGAATGCTATGTCAAAAACATTATGAAATCCAGAAATAAACCAATTGAGAAACTTAATAATCTATACAGTAGTAAAAATAAATGACGCAAAAACATATGAATTATATCTAAACTACCATACATAGGCAATATGTTTTATCACATACATACGTTACCTCATTACGTACACGTTTTTATTACATATTATTGTATTGAAATGACGTAAGATCGTTTAGTCGTAAATTAGTGTTAAGGTGTAGTGAGCTTTCATCAAATATGGGTATTATTCATTCAGCATAAAATTTTCGGCAAATATTCAATAATAAATGCCTTTTTTGTTTTTGTTAATAATGATAAAGGTTATTATTAATTTTCAATTTTAGTATAACTTTATCATGGTATTAATGACAAAAACAGCACCAAATTCTAAAATTCCTGAACCATAGAAACGCCAATAAAATAAAAGGCATTGAATAATATAAAAATTAATTTTTAATCGTAAATTTTGTTTGCAATAATTTCAAAGATAATAAAAAAAAAATGATTAAACAAAAAATATTTCATTTTGATAAAAAATTAAATGAACCTTTTTTTTTGTAATTATCGGTGGAAAATAAAAATATTTAATAAAAATTTCGAAAAGGGTTTATAATTAGATTGAAATTGTTTTAGTGAATAAATGTTTAAACAAAGTTTATTCTACGTCAATATAATCGACATTGTGTCAATAATTTGTAAAACATTTACAAATTGTCACATATTAATTGATTTAAAAATGGCACATGGAATGGCACATGGAATTCAATTCATTCTATATGGTTTTGAAGAAGAGTTTTACTAAGAAATTTAGTATATGATGTAATTTGAGTTTCGGGGTTTATTTCCCATATTTTTACTTTGAATTTAAACATCACAACTGTTTTTCTTTGCCAATAAGAATTTTGTTTTTACTTTACAGAAGACAGTAAAAAATTTACACTTAGTTTATATTCTTCGAATATTTTTCGAATATTGCTGTTATTGTCGATTGATAAAAAATCTGGCAGCTGTGATATTTTAATTCGAAATAAAATTATTGAAAATTCACTATTGTTTTATTCTATTCATTTATGTTGATATTTGTAACGATTGTAAATTTCTCATAAATCCCTCAGTACGAGTTTGCTGACTAAGAAAGTACTTGAGGCAGTTGGCCTTAGAAAACCTTACAAATTACTTGTACTTACCAAGATCGGACATTTAGCGATGTACATAGACACAAAGATTTTTTCTTTCATTCTCTTCGTGGAGAATATTTTGTATTGAGCAGGTTTCTTGTTGTGTATTATGATAGTACAATTTACCTACTATTTAATTGTGCATCTTAAATTTCTTCTGCTGTTTAGGATTTCCTAACCAAACAATAGATTAGGAAAAGTTTTTAGTGATATAAATTAGACTCATTTGTGGGTAGTGTTTTTTTCTAAAATTTTTATATTTGCATTAAATTTTGTCTAATATTTCTTCTTTATTTTTCAGATATTTATGGGTCTTATATTGCATTTATAGCATATGGTATGACATTTATAAGTGCTTTAACATATTTAAATATAATTTCATCGAAAAATAATCGGACAATAATTTTATCGATATGTTTTGTATGGTATTTATTTGGTATTGCATCAGCTATATCATTGATTGGTGTAAATGTTAAACTTGAAGATAATCGTAACAACATAACAACAACAACGACAACTATAAAATCTATTATAAATAATGTTGAAAAATTTGATTTTAATTTTGATAATATAACAAATAATTTTGAAAATATTACAAATATTAATGAAAATATAACAAATTTTAATGAAAATATTACAAATATGATTGAATCAAATTATGATTTAAAATATGAAAAATATATTGATAATAGAATTAGATTAACATCAAATATTAATACTGATGGTATTTATCAAGGAATGGCCGGTTTATATTTAACAACATCAATATTAATTGTTATAATATTGTCAATTATTAAAATTTATAATTATTTAGGTAATTTAGATTATAAAAAAAGTTTAGATTATGATATTTTTATTGCAAATTCAAATGAAACAATATTTGATACAAGATCCGAAGTTATTAAACAAACAAATTTCTTTTATGTTACAAAAAGTAAACAATGGCTAGTCTCATTCATACTATTATTTTGTGATTCAATACATTTTTCATTTTTTGTATATATTTTGTCATGGTTTATATTTAATCCAGCAATTTCATTAACACACAATTTTAATAATTATGGTTTAATATATTGGATTGTATTTTTTGGTTCAATTGTTGGTGTAATTTTATTATTTTTTATTAGTATAAAAATGATATTTGTTATATCAACATTATCACAAATTCTTTTATTAATATTAGGTATGATAATACGTAATGAATCTTTAATACCATTATGGATTGTATGTTTTTTATATGGTATGAATTTTTCAAATATTAAAGTATTAGTATTAGAAACAGCACATTTAAAATTTTCTGAATTAATGATATTTATATCATGTACAACAAAATTATGTTCGATTGGTGTTATTAATGTTAGTTTTATGCGTGATATAAATAATTCAATATTTTATCGTGAAGATTCAGCAACATTAATTGCACATTGTTTAGCATTTATAACAATATCATCATTAATAACAATTATTGTTACAATTAAAGTACCAAGAACATATAAAAATTCATTATTTGATATACAAAATTGTTTACTTGGTATTATATTTAAAAAACATCAAATTGAACAATTAAATATGAAATATTTAAGTGATGGTACAATCCCAACAATATCTCGAAATGTTGATACACCATCATCAACCTAGCATATAATTATATTTGAAAATAATATACAAAGAGAGAAAAAAAATAGAGTATGTCAAAAAGATGAATGACATTAATTATAGTAAATATTAGTCTATTTAAACAAAATAATCAAATTGAAAATTTTTTTTTTATTTCTTTTATAAATTTAAATAAAAATTGAAATTAATTTTTTTCTTCTTGAATTTTTGACAGTTGCATATTAGATTTATTTAAAAAAAAACAATTATGATTTTATAAAATGTTTGATTACAAATGTATATTACGTTAGGACATGTTGTATGTGTGGTATTGAAAGTTAACAAATAAATGAATTTTTTTTTATAGAATGATCATTTTCTTATTTGCAATAATAGTTTTTTGGTTCATAAATAACAAAATTTTAAATAGCATTATGTATCTTATTAATTAGTCTAACATGTTTGAATCAATACACAACATGTTTGAATGCAATTAAATTGTGACTTAAATTTTGCTATCTATAACTAAATCTTGTATGTATAAGAGATTACTAATATTAGAATTAGAACTATATTTTTTATATATATACATAATATGTTTTCTTGCCTATTAATTGAGTAAAAATTGTGGAAAATTTATATAATATAATTAATAAACACAATACACTACGAAATTTTATTATAATATTTCTTAATTTTGTATACTTATTGAACTATGTACATGTGTAGGCGTTTATGTCAATTAATTTTCTACGAAATTTGAAAATTTTTTTTTTGGTATTGATATTTTATTACAAATGTAGATTAAAATTTAAACTACAGGTTAAATACAGGTTAAATATTAGAGTTTTGTCGAAATTTAATTGTATCTAACACTAAAATACTACTTGGAATTGGAATCAGATGTAATTGAAATTTTTTTATCAGATTATAATTTGTATTAATAACTATTATAATCAAATCAAGCATACTATATATTATATTTGTATAACAAAAAAGAGATTATTTTTCCAAAATAGAATAAGATATAAAGTTAAAATGTAAAATTATTTTTATAAAAAATATATAGGTACAATAATTTTGTAGTTTCAAAAATGATCGTCATTTCATACAATGCAATATTATAAATAAATGTTGCATATATTTAGGCGAACGTTGGTGTATTCAGCTAAATGTTCCAGAACAAAATATTTGCAATAATGTAAAGGAGTAAAATATTATTTAGTAAATAAAAATAAAAAACAAAAATTAAAAATAAGAAGAAAATAATAACAATGAAAAATAATAATAAATAACTAGATGTATAACAATTATAAATTCTGTTATTGAAATTTATTCAAATCTAATTTTAATTACAAATACTAATTATTTATTAATGACAATGTCAATTCTTCTACAAATTCAAAAAGTTTGACCTCAATATTTACTGACTTTTCATTTAATATATAGGAGATTACTTTTGTTTTAAATTTAATTAAATTTTCAATACACTATAAAATATTTTTCAGCAATTATAATATAATTGAATTATAATAATGATAATAAATATAATAATAATGTGAATTAATTAATTTATTGTTGTATTAATTAAAGAAAAATTTTATAAACTGATGTTATTTGTTTTTGTTACAAAATTCTTATACAGTGAAACGTATATAAAATTGTTCATTTACATTATGTACTGCTAACAGAAATATAATTTTGAAATTAACGTGACTGAAGTTTCTTGAAGATGTGTTATTTTCAAAAGATATGCATAGTTAAAGCTAGCTTTACATAAAATTTGGAATATTCATAAGTTTTTCTATTTCAGTATTGGAAATGCCAAATAAAATCATAAGGCTAAATCCTTTCGAACCGGCTTTCGAATAGTATAATTAGTACATGTTTTACATAAGGGATCTATTACCTATGCATATATAAAACAAACTATTTGTGATAAAACAAAATTGCGTTAAAATTTAGTGTACCGAATCGTGTATAAAAACAAAATGGTACAACAGAGAAACAAGTACAATGCCATTTTTAACTTTTAGGAATGTCTGGATTTTACTGGTACATAATATGTGTACCAGCCAGGTCGAAAGGGTAAAAAAACAGTGTAAACTCATAATTATATTAGAAAACTTCAAATCAATTGAATATGCTGTATTCAAAAGGTAGTAACAGCTTTTTTACAATATTTCTCAATGTTTTGAATTAATTGTCATCATGATCTTACAATTTGGCTTCCAAATATTATTATCCCAATATTATAGTTGTAAAAATATGTAGCATATTTATTGTGAAATTTCCTGGTTAGTAACATAATGTAATGTAATAATTAAGAGATATAATTAAGTGGTGAGTAATTCATTGTTAAATAATTTAATGGGAAGTAAATAATACATCTTCTTTGCAAAGTACTTTCTTTGTAAATTATGTAAATTGAATCTTTAATATTTCATTCACCTGCTTGACTTTCTACTAGTATAAAATTTAATTTTCTAAATTTTGAATAGATTAATTTGATTCTCAAGGATTTTACAAGTTTAATTTGACAAGGATTTTACTAAAAAAAAATTAATGTAGGATGAAATTTAATTAAAAAATATCACTGAAATAATGTGAGACCCTCTTAATTTCTCTAAGTTACTAAAATTAAAAATATTTTTGGTTCTTTTCAATGATCTTTTTGTTTCAGATGTTTTTTTCTGTTTTGCTCTCATAAATTTTTAAATTCTCTTTAAAAATGCTTATTTTTTTTTTGAATGCAATGAAATTTTCAATTTTAAATTTTTCCCATTTTCTCATTTTATTATTCTTTTGTTTTTTTTTTTACTTCTCAATTTTCTTATCGTGTTTTCTTTTTGTTTATTTTTCATTTTTTTGAGAGGTGAAAATGAAAATTTTCTTTTGTAATTCCCTTTTGTATTTATTTTTCTTAATAAAATGAAAAAAAAACATAAAATAAAAATAAAATAAAAGCATCATAGAATTTTCCAAATGATTTGAAAATTTTTTTTTCCGTGTACATATAAAAATTATCTTTTTTCTTCAAATCAGTTTCAGATCATTGAGAACACTTTTGTGGTAAAGGCATCCGCATGGCGACAAAATTATTAATCGTTCGTCGTCGCGCTTTTTTCCATTTTATTCAATGAAAAGAAAAAAAAAAATTTGACAACAATAAAATAAAAAAAAAAAATTTATGGAAACTTATAAAAACTAATGTCAAAATTTTTGACATATTATTAAAAAAATAAAGATAATAATTTTGGTTTTAAAATTTTTTAAAATTGCTATTAAAATTTATTTGTTAAAAAATAATTTAATAAAATAATAAAGTGCGTATATTAGATAAAAAAAAAATTAATATTTAAATTGTGCAAATAAAATTCCTTATATTGCAAAAAAAGAAAAACAAAAAATAAAATTTAATAAAAAAAAATTTAAATTAAAATCATTTCGGAAATAAAATATTTAAGATTAATGAATTTAATATAAAGAAATTCACAATCACATGCACAAAAATATTTTATATGTGAAGGTGTATTTTTGTTTTTTTTTTTTCCTGTACTAAATAGTACAATTTGTGATTGTGTTTAAAATATAAAGAATAAAAAGTTTTTGTAATTGTGTGCGTTTTAAATTTTTGTGTTTTAAAAAATTTTTAATATAAAAAATATTAAAGAAAAATTTTAAGTACTTTTTTTATTTAGCTTTTTCCTCTTATAATAATTTTATATGTATGTATTTCAAATAAATATATGTATAAGTAAAGTTGGAACATCATATTGCTCTTAACAATAAATTACTTATACATAGAGTGTAAAATTTATTAAAATAATTTATGTTTTATAATTAATTAAAAAATGTGATAAAAAATTGAGTATATTAAGTAAGTTTTTATTTAGTAAGAAATTTCATTGTCAAATTATAAACATACAAATAATAGATTTGTTTATTTAAATGCTGAAAAATAATAAAATATACATATGATCCGAATAATCGAATATTTTATTATTGAAAAACAAAGACAATTTAAACAATTAAGAAGATGTAAACTCTTTGTATGAGATTTCCTATTGTTCTTTGCCAAAAATTTTCAAGAAAGCCATAGTTATAACATGAATTGAGTAAAGTTTTAGCTACTAGTAGAAAGCAAAAATTGGGACCAATTTTTCCGAGCAAAACTTACTTAGAATTAAATAAAATCAGAACTTTTATCTCTGGTTTTGGTTTTAATAATTTTAGATTAGAGTTTACATATTATTAAAATATTTTGATTTTATATATTGATCAAAGAACTAAAATTTGACAACAGAATATTAGAATTAATTTGACAGATATGTAATTGATAGTTTTGGTTTTATATTTTCCAACTTAACAATTTCTAATAAAATTTCTTTTTTTCTGAAAGTTTTGAAGCAACTTAAAAGTTTCCTCTTCATGAGTACTTATTGTTCAATGCATTTACTATGAATTTTTTGTTTGTCAAAAAATGACATTTTAATTTTGTATTTGCATAATTTTAATCGAATTTATTTTCTTATTTACAATGATCGGCGAAGCGAATGACATTTTTGGCGAATAAGAATTTTTATAATTTCAAATGTGACGAGCTGTCAAAATATCTTGAATGAAAATTCTGTGCGATAAGCTTAGCAAATGAAATTAAAAATCAAAATAAAATTTTTTTTATGAAAAAAATGATGACGTCATTTAAGCTGGTTAACAAAGCCAATCACCAAAAATAATTTTGAAATGTAATTCGATTCGCCGATGATAATGATATATATATATATATATATAACTGATTCTTATTTGACTTACTAAAAATAATTATTTTTATTAGATAAATAATAAAAATACTAAAATAATAAATATAATATACAACAATTTTTATGATTATTTAATTTTATATATGTATATAATATAATTATATTTCAAAATTTTTACTTGACAACACTGAACATATTATTTGTTTATATTTGACAAAAATATCAAAAAATTTCACAATTATTAAAAATTTTTTTTTTTTAAATTTATATGAAATAGAATTTATATGAAATCTTTATAGTAAATTTACTATATTTGCAAAAATAGTCCAATCGATTATTGTGAAATAGACAAAAAATAATAATAATAAAAAAAAATAAAAATAATGCAGAAATATAAAATATAAGACCAAACATAATTTATTTAATATTTTTGTGAAATTAAACTTCAATTTATCTTTCAAATTACAAAATTTTTTATTGAGTGAAGATTGTATTCTTAAAATAATTTAGTTTACTAAACTTTATTTATGAAGTTATAATTGAAATTTGTCAAATTTGTAATTTAAATTTTTTTAAAAAGTTCAATGTAATTTACAAAAAAAAAAATATCAATGGTTTTTTATTTAAAATTTCTTATATTTTTTTTATTTTTCTCAATAGAGGAGGCGAATTCAAATATTGTTAATATTATTTTGTGATTAAATTTAAAATACAATCTTAAAATTTTGTGTAAATAATATATTTATTGTAAATATTTTGCATATACATATGTGAAATATGTGTTTTTTCATTGAATTTAAATCTTTGTACATTGAAAAATATTAAATAAAATATATAAAACAGAATATATACATATATTTACACATTTACTTACAAAAAGTTGAAAATGCACAAATATAATTTCAAAAAATATTTTCAAATAAATTAAATATTTTTCATCAATACATAGATATTAAAATGATATACGTATACATATGAATACGATGTCAAATACCAATGCATAATGTCAGTGCGTGTATAAATTTTGTTTTTTTTTAAACATTTTGTTGTTGCTGTTTTTGTATATAATTTATGAATTTTAAAGGTGTATACAA